GCTTGTTGTCGACGGGGAGGCGCGGGGTGAATTCGCCGCCGAAGGCGTAGGCGTTTTGCCCTAGGATGGTGATGGCGTGAGAGCTTCTAGCGCCCGGGCTTGTGCCGTTTTGATGGATCTGAAGCGAATTTTGAGAATTTGAAAATGCATGAGGAAATTGTGGAAAATGGAAGACGGAATTGAGAAATTGGTGATTACCTTAATCCATTTTCCATGCGTCGGAGCCATTTTGTCGAAAACCCTAAAATTCTCAAATCTGCGGATGGCAATGGAGCGGGTACTGGTACTCTTGTAAATATACTGAGAGATTTCTCAATTAGACAATTTTTATTATTTAAAGGAAAGGGAAAGAATACTAGATATAAAATAAAGACGAGAGCATCATTTTTATGTCTAATCTGAAAATAAGTAATTAATAAGGAATGTAGGGTGCTTAATCTAATAATAATTCCAATTAATGTGAAATACATATTGTAATCTAGTTTCTACACCAGATATCGCCTTCGCCACCGAGAGTAGTTGATTGGATAATGCCTCACCTCACCTCACCGCTTCTTTAATTTTTATTATGCCTTTACGTCTTTTTTAATTTTTAAATTTTTGTACGACCATTTAAACTGTTTGTGCATGATTGTTAAATCAGCCACGCGTCCATTGGAAGAGTTTGAGCATCTCAATGGTGCAGTGATGAAAATTAGACCGATCACACTATCTTACAAGACGAGCCGACGTGATTATGCTAGTTGCGGAAATTAACTATCTCAAGGTTACTATCGCCGTCGAAATCTCAACTGCTCTCACTTATCAAATTCAGTGATGAAAATTACTATTTGAATGTAGGAACTGTTTATTTAATTTATTATTTTTGCAAGTTCTTCCATCACCAAGGTTCCAGCAAGTTGTCATTTTCCTGAGAAAACAAACAATATATACAAGGGATGATGATCGTTGCCTTATGTAAAATAATAAGGAAATAAGTAATTATTAATTAATATTTTAAAAGTACGTTTGAATAATTTTTAAAATAAATAAATTTAATTAAATTGTCAAACGTCATCAAGCCATTTCCATGCCAGAGGGGTTACATCTCTCCGTTTTAAAATGGAAGTTGGGCTCAACTAAGTTTATTAAGGGATTCTTTGGTAATTAAGAATCGAGATACACTATTCTTATAGTTATAATTCAGCTTTTTTTTGGGTTAGTTTTGTAAAATTCACTCCTAGCGATTTGTACATTGGCAAACAAAATGAAGTGGATCTTAGCCCAATACGATATAAGGCTTGGGTTGGGCCTAAAAGTCCAATATGAGGTGTATTCAATAGCAGGTCTAATAATATAAATTTATTTGAATAGAGTCATAATTTGGCTTCCATAAATTTTGCGTTAATTTTTTGGTAATTGTAGTGAGTAGCAAAGATAATTTATATATCTCAAAAAACGTCACAAGCTTTACAAAATTTCAAATATGGTAAAATATTTGAATTTTTTTTCAGAATTTTTATTATTCCGATTTTACCCTTATAGTTTCCTATATACATTCCATGTATATCTGTATCTGATATATATTTAACGTATATTTGTATCTGATATACATTCAATCTATATCTGATATACATTTGATGTACCTCTGATATATTTTCGATATACATCTGATGTACTCCTGATATACATTATCAGATGTATTCATGATATACATTATTAAATATATCTGATGTAATTCAAATTTACGATATCACTACTATTTATTCTATATTATAGTTTATCATTGCAATTTGTTGGTTGATATACTATTGATTACTATATCACTACTATTTATTCTATATTAATATTAATTAGATACTAAATATAATGGATATAAACTATTTAAATTTATAAAGTATATCAGATTTTTAACTTTTTTTTTTTTGACGTGCATGATCCGCATAAACTTTTTATACAATAACTTTATATTTCAAAAATTGTTTTGCACCATTTTTTTCATGTGAAAAAATACTGGATATAATAGTATTATATCAATACACATGTATCATAGTTATATTAGTAGATATTATGGTTATATCATAGGTATATTAATAGTAAATTAGAAGCATATGAAGTATATATCAGTTGTAAATCATATATAAGAAGTTTTATCAGTAGATATTACAGTTATATCAGTGGTATATCATTTGTTTATCAATGGTAAATTAGAGACATATCAAGTATATACATATATAAATGATGTATCAATGTGGTAAATTAATGGTTATCATACGTATATTAGTGGTAAGTCATGTTAGAATTTCAGTAGATATCATAGTTATATCATAAATAAATCAATTGTATATCATTATTATATCAGTGGTATATCAGAGGCATATATCACTAGTTAGATATATTGCAGATATATTATAGAGGTACAAATATATTGTAGGGTAAATTTGTAATTTTATAATTGGACGTCCGTTTTTTGTTGGAATAAATGTTATATTTGAAAAAACTAAATGTGGTTGCTATTTTACTTGTTTTACTAAATATTTTTGTCATATTTGCAATTGTCTCTTAATTTTTTACAAACAGTGACTAAGATGGTAATTTTATTAAAAGAATTGACTCTACGATGAATCATTCTTAAATAGATTTTTTAGAAAAATATAGAGAGTCGAAAGTAAAATAACTAATTAGACTTTAAACAGATATAAACATCAAAATGATCGGAAAATAAAAGAAAAATAATTAAAATAAATATTTAAACTTTAATAGTATTTACAAACAGAAGTTAAATTGAAGATGTCTTTTATATTGATTGAGACATGTGGATTCATTTTATTAAGACTTGTTAATTTGTTATATTTTATTATGCTAATTCAAATGACTGGGACATTGAGTTTGAACTCACTGCATTAATACACTAATCTTACTGATTAATTGATTTTTAACGAAATTAATATTTCCTCAAATTTGTTTAGTTCAACAGTGTGGGTGGTGATTTGAGCATTCGTTTATAATATATAGCTAAACCAATTGGGTTTGGCTCAAATATTTTTCTAAAATTAAACAATAGTTTAACAATAAATCACATACAAATTACATTAATTAAAACTCGAAACCAAGTCATTTTTCTTTAACCAAAAAAAAAAAAAACAGGTCATTAATATGTCTAAATAAACCGTTAAAATATCTAAATTTATCCATGAAACTAAAAAGACCATAGTTGAACCTTAGTTTGAGAACGGAGTTGACTTAGATCGTCAGAGTGTTTGTTTATCTTGTGGTGGTATTTTTCACCAAACTCGAAACTAAACCATACTCGATCATATCGGTTTTCAAGCCTATCAAAATTCATCATAGACTGGGCTAATCAAGAATATGTTGATAAAGTCATATCCTGGAAAATAGATATGTTGGATTGCTGAAATATTTCATGTTTGTCCTCTAAAATTTACACTATTTCCCTTTCTAGATACCAAACATCCCACGTTTATTTCCCACCACAAGCTGCATCGTTAAAAATCACAGATTTATAGCTGGCCACGATGCCCCCTTTTGCAATCAACAAATATTTTTCTCTCACGCATTCTAATTTCTAACGATGCCTCCACCCTTTCAACAACCACAATTAATTTCTTTTACATCAATTCTGATTTCTTAAGGTCCTTTATACAAAAAAGACACCTTCCCTTTCTTCTTTTGGATATTCCATATTTTGCTGAACTCAATCTTCGACAGAGTCGTGAAGGGTAAATATTCGTTGATGGGCAAAATCAACTCTGAAATTGCCAATATAAACAAAGTGGGCCGCGGGGGCGGTAAGGTAAGCAGCTTGTTAAGTCCAATACGCACCAAGAAACTGAGAGGTGGTTGTTCGAAACGTTGAGATACTAATTTCTTTCTGTTATTTTGTCGTTAACCCATTTGATTTTGATCGCTCCCACCAGTTTTCAGTCGCTTGGACGCCGAGAATTCAGAAAACAGGGACACCCAGTAAACGTTTCTATCACATATTTCTTATTTCCTTGTTACAACTTACAAGAGACTTCCGATTTAAGACTGCCATCAATCTTCCCCACTACATTTCCGTTTTTTGTTAGTACCCATTTCGAGTTTTGACCTTTTCCATTCAAACCTGGGCCAATTTCTTCTTGCGGCTGTTCGTTTCCGCTGAATATTTGGTATGTTAATGCAAATTCGATCTGGGTTGTCTTTATTTTCTCGGAAATTTGCATTGCCTGCTGAGTTCAGTCGACGGATTTATTGAAATATTGATTAGAAAAACGAGTTCAAAGCTTAAATGACCTTTTCCCTCCTCTTTTTTAATCGTTTCGTGTTGAATAGAAGTAGCAATGAAGTTTCTTACGTTGTTTTAGCGTTCCGTTCTGTTCTCCCCTGTTCTATTTGGATTCTAAACATGTGAAGTAGGCGACTGAACCATTTTGACCTTCTATTGTTTATTATTAACCAAATACTTTCCCATCGTTTGCTTGATATTCGAACCTTCAGTTCTTTAACTGAACAGGATTGGTGGGTTAGCCAGCTGATTGGAGATTGAGTTTCAGTTTATTTGATTCATTAGTTTTCTCGAACGCTTTGAGCAGCCACAAGTCTGTAATCTCAAAGAATAGATTCGCTAGTTCTTATGATTACTTGTGTTTATATTTATGCTCCAAATTAACCCATTCGACAAGCTAGAGATGGCTGTTTACCATTATATTCGTTTTTCTTTATTCAGGCCCTTGTTCTTAGATGGCGGCAACACTAGCTTCTCACAGCTGTTATTGCCGCGAAGCAAAGTTAAATGAGGGGAAAGGGAAACAAGCCTTTGATCTGTGCTTTTCGAGATCAATTTCACTAAATTCATTCAACAAGTTTGAGAAGTCAACGTGGAGTCCTCCAAGTCATCAACATTTCAGGCTCCGAAATGAAATGCAACACAATACATCGCCCCCAAGGCTGGGCACTACCAATGGACGAGCTGTTAAGATGGTACCTGTAAATGAAGTAGTGAGGAAGAAAGCTGCATCTGCCAATAAAGTTGAGACGATAAATGGCAAAAAGCAAGTCATCTACGGGGCAAGTATAGTTAAGCGCAGCCCATCTCCGCCGTTGGTTAGGAGAACAAATGTTACAGACCCCAGGAAGCTCCCACCAATTGAGGACCTTAAGGTTTTGCCTTCAGATGAAGGTTTCAGTTGGGCTAATGAAAATTATAATTCCGTGCAAAGGAGTATTGATGTTTGGAGTTTCGTTATTTCTTTACGGGTCCGAGTTTTCATTGAAAATGCAAAATGGACATATGCAGGAGGCTTCTCAGAAGATAAGCAGGTCGAATTCTTTCCTGGGTTGCTAGTTAGCTCCTGGGTTACCTCATTTCTTGTTAGTTTTCTGGTTTTTTGTAGACTAGAATATTGTATTTCTATTTTGCTTTACTTCTCATTCTATCTATCATCACTTTTCCTGTTCAGAAAAAAAGGAGGCAAAGGACTGCCTCTTGGTTGCGAGAGCGTGTGCTGCAGCTTGGCCCTACTTTTATCAAGCTTGGACAGCTCTCCTCAACTAGGTCGGATCTATTTCCTCGTGAGTATGTGGACGAGCTTGCTAAGTTACAGGTATCACGTATCCGCATCTTTCAGTAGAGTTCTCTCTGTTCATGGAAATTTACTGTTTTTAATTGAATTGCTCAACTCATGTAGCTTCTCGGTCACTAGGATGTTCAGATATTAAAATTTCAGGATGCTGTGATGTCACTGCTGAATAAGAATCTGAAGATTTGTGTTTGTGATGTTGTATAATCAGGATAAAGTCCCTGCATTCTCTCCAGAGAAAGCAAGAGGATTCATTGAAAGTGAACTTGGTGTCCCTATAGATACATTGTTCAAAGAATTCGAGGATCGTCCTATCGCTGCTGCAAGTCTTGGCCAGGTGCTTGTTTCATTTCCATTTGAAAGGAACATACCAAAAGTGATAGTTACCTGAATTTAGGCCTTCAGTATTGAATCTAGTAATATTGTCCTTAGGTCCATCGTGCAATACTGCACAACGGAGAGAGGGTGGTCATCAAAGTCCAAAGACCCGGTCTCAAGAAGCTTTTCGACATTGATCTGCGTAAGAATCGTTTTTGCTGATCCCTGCTGGAAAAAAATGGTGAATCATTGATAAACTGGCTTATAATGATTAAACTTTCGTGTGGTTTCTTGGGGATAGGAAAACACTAGTTAATAACTTTTGAGCTGATTGGACATGTTTGATACGGAATCGTAAAATTTTGTAATAGCGCCATATGACCTTGGGAAGTAAATGTTGATTAGGTTTCGGCATGTTCAGTTCGAGACACGTATCATTGAAGTTACATGTTGAGTTTTACTATTGTTTATACTCCATCAACAGGGAATTTGAAGCTAATCGCAGAATACTTTCAAAGAAGTGAAACCTTTGGTGGTCCTACAAGAGACTGGATTGGTATATACGAAGAATGTTCTACGTAAGTAGTAAGCATATCTTTAGCAGCTATCTTTCAAGATATAAACCGTCCGTTGTTTTTTAAAAACCATATTTATTTTGTGCTCAAGACTATCCATCATGAGTTTTTGTGTGTATAAACTATAGCTCTTTCTGGTATACTATAGCTCAGTTTTCTTCATTAAATTATGTTGATTATGATGTTTGATTTATTTAAGACTCATGGCTGACTCCTGGTTGCAGGATTTTGTATCAAGAAATTGACTACATAAATGAAGGCAAAAACGCTGATAGATTCCGCAGGGATTTTCGTAATATAAAGTGGGTCCGAGTACCTGTACGTTTCTTCATACAGAACAAGAAGTTACTCTCTGATACTTGTCATTTATCAAATGAATATTCTCACCCCCAATGTGAATTCAAATAATAGAAGTATTACAACTAAAACTGGTTAATGATCTATCATTAACTCAGCCTAAAAGTCTTAACTAAATATACTTCCTCTTTCTTCTTTTTTAGTTACTTCCTTTTTGGTCTTCTTTGTAGCTTGTCTTTTGGGACTACACTGCCTTGAAGGTATTGACTTTAGAGTATGTACCAGGTTTGACCCCAAGCAATGCATTTTTGAAGATATTACAAGACAATCTATATTTTGGCATGTTGAAGTTTCACTTAAATGAAATGACATTGCTGTCTTATGTACAGGGGTTAAGATAAATCAGCTGAACGTTCTAGACTCACGTGGCTTTAGTCGCTCTCGGATTTCATCACATGCCATTGAAGCATACTTAATTCAGGTCAGACCTATGAGACTGATATCAATTAATCCACATTATAAATTGAAGACATTATGTACTCTGTTTTTGCATGTCTTCCATTTCAAATGACAGCTAATTAGATGATCATCCAATATTATCCAACTGATGTACTTCTCTCTTCTTTCAGATACTGAGGACTGGTTTCTTTCATGCTGATCCTCATCCCGGAAATCTCGCTATCGACGTGGATGAAGCAATCATATATTATGATTTTGGTATGATGGGGGAAATCAAATCCTTCACCAGAGAGCGGCTGCTTGACCTTTTTTATGCGGTTTACGAGAAAGACGCGAAAAAGGTTGACTTACTGGAACATCATTCCTTTTCTTAAATATCAAATATCACTTCTCTTAAAGACAGTTACTGTAATTCTCTATATCCTTCTTCCATACAGAGAGATTATCTTATTTCTTAGCCATAGGGATGATGCAAATCTATCGATGTACCAGTATTACTTTTACTGATGAAGCTGCGGTTATGCAGGTTATGCAAAGCCTCATAGATCTCGAAGCACTTCAGCCCACTGGAGACCTGTCTTCGGTATACACTGTTCAAATTTAATAGAAATCTACATACTATTTTCTGTTTATGGTCTATCATTTTTCAAATTCTTTCTTAGGTGAGGAGGTCTATTAAATTTTTTTTGGACAATCTGTTGAGCCAGTCTCCAGATCAGCAGCAGACTCTGGCTGCAATTGGTGAGGTGTGGCAAGTATTCGATTTGAAAAAATGTGAAAGATTGGTTTTTGTCGCATTTCGTGTATGATCTTTTATAAACTCACGAGTGTCTGTCTGACAGGATTTATTTGCAATAGCTCAAGATCAACCTTTTCGATTCCCGGCCACCTTTACCTTTGTCTTGAGGGCATTTTCTACCCTTGAAGGTTCAATCTCACTCTCTTGTTCTTTGGTAATTGAGCCATCACATCTCCCAGGAATAGAATATAACTCAAAACGATTATTCTATATTGTCAAGAAGATATCTGACCAACTCTGACTAGATTACGTTACGTTTCTGCTATCGACTGAGGAATCAAATCTTGTTTCAGGTATAGGCTACTCACTTGACCCAAATTTTTCCTTCGTGAAGATTGCTGCACCGTATGCACAGGTTCGTTGCGGTTATAAATGATCCATTGTTAGTTATTTTGGTTATCTATGAAGGTTTCCTTTTTGTAGTTATTTCTGTGAAAAATGAGGTGTGCAGGAGCTTTTAGACATAAAACAGAAGGAGCAAAGCGGAACACAACTCGTGCAGGAGATAAGGAAACAAGCCAATGATGTACGACACTTCCTTCAAGTTTTTTGTCGCTCTCTATTGGGATATTAAAAATTGTCACTCAACGCTGTAGTTCATTTTCAGGCCAGAACATCTACCATTTCCATGCCATACAGAGTTCAAAGAATAGAGGAATTTGTACAGCAGCTCGAGTCGGGAGACTTAAAGCTTCGAGTCCGGGTGCTAGAGGTATATATATTTAATCACGTCTTAAACTCTAGATTGTTGAATTACAGTAACTTAGCAAATAACACAATTTCACTTGTAAAACTTCGCAACATAACATTGGTGATGGGGATCTTAGTCTGAAAGAGCAGCAAGGAAAGCAACAATACTTCAGATGGCAACGATTTATACCGTGATGGGCGGTACCCTTTTGAATCTTGGTATCACCCTGAGCTCTCAAGGCAGCCAAGCTGTTGCGAGCGGATCGTTCGTCGGGGCAGGTGAGCTCTTTTTCGATGTCGTAGAATTGTAAGTTCGAGTTTGAAGTTACTAATTTTACCGTCGATTGTTTGGTGAAATGCAGGAGTTTTCATGGCGCTCGTTCTTCGGTGTATGCAAAGGGTTAAAAGGCTAGACAAATTTGAGACAATGATCTGATTTTTGACCCTCCAAACACCATAAACTTGATCCCCACTCAGCAGAAACTCAGCTACAAAATCCCTTCAACAAGCTTAAAGAATCATTTTTCTTTATTTATTTGGAAGACGGAAAACAAGCGCAAGTCCCAGGCAGTTGGAAAGTGAAAACTGCATACAGGGAGGAAACAAAAAATTGGTTGTGGGTTACAGAAGAGGCAGCTGATATACATACCTCCTTTAGAATTTGGATCAGTGACTTCCACTATTATAAATGTAATATATATTTTTTTTACTTTTATTTTATCTAAGGCAGTTTCATTCTCTGATTCTCCATTTTTTCCCTCATTGGAAGAGATTATAATTATTAAAGCATTAGTTTTCAAGTTTCAAGATCTGTTTTTTAGCACTTTCGTTTCTCGGTTTTCTTATTTCTTGTTTTCAATTTTCTAGATATATAGCACATGATAACTTTTCTGTATTGTTTCTCATTTTTAAAAAACGTAGGAATTTAAATAGGAAACAACAAATTTAAGATTCTTATTTTTGGTTTCTATTTTTATTTTTTTCACAAAACATTTACAAAAGTATCATTTTATTATTTTTTACTTACAAGATTAACAATAAACATCAAATATTAAATATAATGTAAAATTTTGAATATTTAATTTAAAAATTAATTTTTATATAATTTTTTAATTTAAAATTTTAGATAATAATAAATTGGAAAGGAGGATCAAACATGTTTTTGTTTCTTTTTTCAATAAAAAAGAAAGAGAGAAAGACTATTCAAATATCAAATCTAATTATATCTTTCTTGATTAAAAGATAAGAAATGAAAATAGGAAACAAGAATGTTACCAAAGTACTATATTTAGGGTTATAAATGACGTCATTACATCCAAAATAAGAAATTGATTAATATAATAGTAATAATCTTTAGATTTAATTTAATGAGCTTAATTTAAGTATGGTATTTTAGTAATATTTGGTGGTTGATTTAATGGAACTATAAATTGCAAGTCTTCAGCTCATTAATAAGTTATAAGTTTGGTCAATCATTTATGAAGAAAGATAGGATTGTCCATTGACATTAAATTATCGTCTTAGATAAAATTATATTATATTAGATAGAATAACGAAGGGACAAAAAATGTATTTTTATTTTATCCACCAACATGGATTAAAAGGCATTTGATCAAATGATAATTAATAAATGCTGCTTTATATAAAATAATAATAATAATAATAATAATAATAATAATTTTTTATGGCGTGAGAAATTTGTACCATTGTTCTGGACATGGATATATGATCAAAATACATCTGTTAACTATTTCTATTAGTCGTATTGTATATTTTTAAAAAATAATTTGACTCGATTTAATTGATATATTTTTTTTCTTTTCTTTGCAATATCGATAGGAAAACTCATCATAGTTAGCTTATCCATAACATATTTAGTAAGGCTAACAATTTTTTATGCTCTTTCAAGACCAATTTTCAATATTATGCTAGAAATTTCTTAATTTACTGCTAGCCTTAAGAGCTTGAGTTGATGGGTTATATAAACCGTGTTATACGTTCAATCGCATTAACAACAGGAATCGTTCAAGGCCCGCACGAGTTGTGAGATGTTCTCGAATGATATATGATGTATATGGTGTATAATTTGAGGATAGTGTATGTCACTATTCAGGTGGGGGTCTGATTTGGGGTGCATAAATATGTGGGGCAATTGGCAAACTATGTGCATTGTGTTGGCTGGTTGATTGGTAGGGTGGGTTGGCCTGTTGGATTGACCCTCCACGAGCCAAAGCCCACCCAACTTCTTCCATAGGAACATATAATTGGAGAGAGTCATTCCATTAATTGTAACCACTCAAATTTTGGTATCCTTAATTTCATCTTCATCTTGTCCCCTACTCGATCTTCTACGTCAGCGAACGCTATTAAAGTATATACTCGTGAGTAAGGGTTTCATGTCACTATATCAACAGGTTAAGACACCTAACTGTGAGCAAAATGTCATGAGTTTTAATCCGCACACTCCTATATTGTAATAAAAGGAAAAAAGAAATACATGAGTGGGGTTACGACTATACCTATTGCATTTTGGGTAGCCACCATAAAGTTGTGGATTTAATAGTGAATTTATCTTCTCGAACAATTGTACAACATAAAATTGTGGTCTTTACATTTAAAAATAAAAAATTCATATGTTGATTTCATTATCGATTTTCAATAGTCTTCGCATAGAAATATATTTTGATCATCTAACTTCTTCAAAACAAAGGTTAAAACACATTTCCATAATGAATTGAGTTTGAAAAATCAAGTTTACCCTCGAATCTGAACTCATTTTCTCAACTTTGATTTTTCCTAGTTGTCCCAATGATCACTAGACCAACCTCTCCATACAACGAGAATTTAATCCTTATACTTATAAAAGTATAAGGATTAGAACGACTCGTGTGTCCTACCTTATCTATCTACCACTTAAAACAGTCAACATCTATCAACAAATACGACACAGCAACAACTAAATAGAATATTAATTCAATTTTTTTAATACAACAATCTATGAGAAAAGTTTCGAACATAATAGGCATCTGATCATAATTCAAAACTTGAAAATTTTAAAATACATAATCATGTAAGACACAAAAATGGATAAAGTAATGGATATTTTTGGAGTGTGATGGAGGAGTATAAAGGAATAGTTCCATGGGAAAGGAAAATAAGTGAAGGGAAAGTTGAATTTGTTTTGTTTGGTTTCAACGTTTGGGGGTTGGCGCTGCGCAATGCGCTTGGGCTTTGCACAGCTGGAAGTAGCAGACACCGTTAAACGTCCTTCGAAGTTGCGTCGACGCCAGGCCCCACTCCCCACTCCCCCCCTTCTATAAACATCCCATTGCCCAACCCAACTGGTCCGTTCCTTCCCCTCTCTCTCTCTCTCTACTCTCTCTCCTCTCTCAGAATCAATCATACTGCGCCTTTACCTTCCACAACATCTTCTTCTCCTTCTCAAAGCGCACTCATGGCGGTAAGAAATGCTAATCTCTTCAATTTCTTCAGATTTATGTATTGCTGCTGACTGCCCATCATTTTTTAGCACTATTACGTTGTGGGTTTTGTAAAAGACTGTTCCTTGTTTGAGTTTTTTTCGATTTGATTCTTACTTTGCTCTGCTCTTTCCCTTTGGATCTTCTTCTTCCTGTGGCTTTTCTCCCTTTCCCCCTTGGAAGAATAAAATAGACCCTGTAGTTTTGTCTCTGTGTTTGGAACTGTGGTGGGTTGCTTTTTTTTTTTACCCTTTTGCCCACTTTTCTTGACTCTTTCTTGTAGTTGACGGGTCTGTTTGCAAGCATTTGGCCCTATCTGCATGGTTTTGTTAGTCTGCTGATTTTGCAGAAGGATTGGTGGGTTTTCTTCCCATTTGTTTGGTTATGAAGTTTCTTCCCTTGGGAATGTGAGCTTTTCAATCAATCAGCATTTTTAAGCATTTACGAATATGCTCGAGATGACTTTGGAGGGTTTTGGCTTTATTTAGCGTTCTGTGACAAATGTATGTAATTTACATCTAACTTAGAGTTCATCCAAACAAACAAACAAAAGTGCCCAACTCATATTTTATGATGCCAAATGTCCTACAGCAAATTGATAGTTTCAGTTTAAGAACGAACGAGGAACTAAGTGAAAATCTCGTGTACGATTCTCTGGAGTGCCTTTGTATATAGGTTGGGGAAGAATTGTGTTTCTGATGTCAGTTTCTATGAATGTTGAATCTGACTTCCATAGTCCTTTTCTGAAGGCTTTCATTTTCTCCCATGTTTTTACCAAGGGATTATCCTTGACATCGAACTTAATTCAAGACTTGTCTCACCATTGGGTTAGCTCTTCATAGCATGAGGTTGGTTAGCTGTAAGGTGTTGGTTTAACTTGGGGAATTTACTCTTATTATAAACCATAAAGGATAGTTGAAGAGCTCTCTCTAATCCGTTTTGTTTCCGATTAGAGAGGATTATTGAATTGTGAACATGTAAGGGCAAGGATATCGCGATTTGGCGGAAGAAGAAGAGAGAAGAGATGATAGAAGTATACTTCCGCTTATTTGAAGCGTCCCCCGTTAATGTCTTTGTCACTTGTTTTACTCTCACTAAGATATTTGCCTAAATATAAGTACCTCGCTACAACCAAGTATATATTTATGCCATAATATGCAAATATTTTGTCATGAAATGACTGCCATCCTTGAGGTTCTTGATTCTGCAGGAAAAAGGCAGTAGCAGTCCATTGCCAAAGTTCGGCGAATGGGATGTCAACGACCCAGCATCCGCCGAGGGGTTCACAGTAATCTTTAACAAGGCCAGGAATGAGAAAAAGACTGGTGGGTTGCCTGACTCTCCAGCGAAGGACGACCCCACGTACAAGCATGGAGCTGTTCTTGGAAAGCCTCAGTCTGTAAGTTCTTTGCAGCAAAATCTTTTCGATTTCTTTGACTGGTTTCGAGAACTCAGGATTGGAAGCCATGTTTGTTAGACAGTTGGCTGATGTGTCCTTTATGTCTACCTCCTCAGCTTCTAACTCTACACTCAGCATATTCTTGCAGTCATTGAAGCCACATTGTCAGATCAATTTATATCATCAAATTCTCTTTGTTTGGTGCCTAAATCTTTTCTCTTTTTGTTGTCCTTTTCTGGGCAAGGAGTATTTGTGTAAATTACTAATAGAGCAATTATTGTAAACATATCATGTTGTTTAAACTTCAAACCAATTCCATCCATATATTAGAAGTACAACACTGCTATTTTCTCACGATTGCATGTTGGGATTTATTTGCAGAAAAAATGGTTTTGCTGCTTGCAAGCTGCAGAATCATGAGGCTTTCGGCTCGACTGTGGGGTTCAGCAGAAATGTATAATCTGCAAAATTCTCGACACACGACTACTTTATCTCTACGACTACAAAACTGAAGCTGTATTTAGAACCTGTGATGATGGATAATGCTGGACTCCATTTGTTAGAACTTGTCAATAATTTGGGTTTTGGGGGGATGAAGATGATTAAAACATCATTGTCTTGTTATGTTATTGTTCTTCTGCATGAATGGCAATTGTTGGAGATTGTTTGCTTATCAAATCCTCCCTCCTCCCTCCTGTGCCCACTAGTTGTGAAATGATGTTGTTTGTGACAGTTTCTTGCCTGAATGATTTCAAATGTATCTCCTTTTTTTTTTGTGTAATCTGAAACTTTGTGCTGGGATTTTTCATATCCTTCGTTCTGCATTGTCTCTGTTTTCTACAGCCATTGGTTTTTACTCCCAGATTCTGGTTGCTGGACATTGGAATTTTATGTTCTTTGTTGGAATGATGATTTAGAGTGGTTTCGGTTGTTGAAACTTCAGATATCTCGAGTTTATTATTATTATTTTAGTACTGAGGTGAGAGTCGAAACTTACGATTTTTTAGTTGGAAATACATGCGTTAAATAATTGAGTTAGATTTGCATTGGTATCTCGAGTTTATTATTAGTTTGTTTATTCGGTTTCTATTTTGGTGCTTCAAATTTTTAAATAACGACCTTACTTCTTATAAACATTAGATTTGGGTGATGCTATTTCATATCAATTTCATTTTCCATTTTTGAAAAATATGCATGTTCAAGTTCATTAGCATTTTTATCTATTTTAGAATTTTTGTTTAAAATTAAAACTGACTCACAAAAATGGTCATAAATATGCAGATGGGGTGGAAATCGAACTATTGAGTTATGCTTAAACGCACCATCTTTTTTCGTGATAAGATAAAAAATAAAATAAAGGTTGGAGTTCGTACACAACAATAATATTCTTATTCTAAAAGAATATTACATTTTTAGTCTCCAATTTAATTTATTCTTTGGATAATTAACTTAATCATTCAGCTAACAGCTAACAAGTTCTTTCCTTTAGCGAGATAGGAGATGGAGCAATCAATTTTTTTTTATCCATTAAACCATATCGAATTAACTAAGAGATAACAAACTTAATAAGCAAAGAGAAGTGATACATTTAATTATTGTCGAATATTTTAAGAATTTATCTTTATTCTTTTTATTTATCTTATTTTATTTTACTATTTTAATGAATCAAAAATTTTCTTTTCTAAAGTATTGTGATATGTATTATTTCAGGAATTCTCTTCCAACAATTATGTAAATAGAGCCAAAGCGAGCGTTGGTCGAAATGTTGTACTAAAGAAAACAATTATGTAAATAGAGGAACTCATTCTCAGACTGCAATGGATTAATGCGATTTTGACACTTGGTATTCCATTATCAAGCGGCCATGAATCGGTGACGGAAAAAGCTTCACTATTTTTTGTTTCCTTCAGCAGCTCCCGTCACCGTTCGGAAACCCAGCAGACTTATCCACATTCCTTTAAAGCAAATCCAAATTCTCAACATGATAACCAATTTCAATCTTATCTCCTGCAACTTCTTGTCTCCATCTCTTCCTTTAAGAATCCCAAAGCTTGGAATCGCCCACCAAAATCAAACCCAGAAATTACGCTCCCAAATTATCCCCTTCAAGTTTCCGATTTGGGTCTCCCCCAATTTCAACAACCGTCGAGATTCAAGCTCTAGCAGAATGAGTCTGCTCCAAAAATGTCGCACCGCAGGAGACCCAGATGGGGAAAAATCGACCGCTGTAGAAACTGAGCGCGGCGGCGGAAATGGTGGGGAGGGAAGAGACTGGACGACCTCGATTTTACTGTTTGTTTTCTGGGCTGCTCTTATGTACTATGTCTTCAATCTCGCTCCAAATCAGACTCCGGTATATTACATTACATAACCTGTCTTCTTCTTTTCTTCTTTTCTTTTTTGTTTCTTCCTGTAATGCAATTCCATGTGTTCCCCTGAAAATCTGCAGTCAACGGACTTGTATTTCCTGAAGAAACTTCTGAGATTGAAAAGTGACGATGGTTTCAAAATGAATGAAGTGCTTGTGTCTCTCTGGTATCTTATGGGCTTGTGGCCCCTTGTCTATGGCATGCTGCTGCTTCCTTCTGGTAGAAGGTACCTTCATCTTCTTCATTCAAAACCACCATTTATGAGTCTAATAGAATCTTGTAGGGTCAGATGATGGTCTTCTTTGATCAACCAGAGCATGGTGTCTAAACAAAAATAAAGTAGTCTATGGTAGTAACTAATTTGGACTTCATTCGTCCAATCAGCTGAACTGTCATCATTTTCAGCTATACTTTATAATGGTATAAGTTTCACCATACCAAGATATTGTCCATCTTTTTATGTACAATAGTTTAAAATCTTGAAGACTGCCATCTAATTGTGATTAGTAACTCATGGGGTTAATTTATACAAATAAGTTGATTTATTGCAAGAGCCTTTATTACAGTGTCCAGCTTTTGGAGTTGATAGTAAGTATTGTAGATTGGAGTGGAGCAGCCTACCCATCAAGTGATTCAAGCATTTTTGTCTTATAAAGTCTTGAATTGCACATCTGATTTGTTACTTAAAGGTCACCGGCGTCTATGCTGTGCGTGGTCGGGTTTAATGTGAAGGAAGAAGAAGCTAGATAGGGTTTAGCTTTCCTGCTTCATCCAGTTCTATTCAAATTGCATAGTGACATAATTCTTGTATCTGCAGCTCAAATAGCAATGTTCCTGTCTGGCCTTTCCTAGTACTGTCAGTATTTTTGGGTGCTTATGGTCTTCTTCCATATTTTGTACTTTGGAAGCCACCGCCCCCTCCCATCGAAGAAGATGACCTCAAGAGATGGCCTTTGAATTTTCTCGAGTCGAAATTTACTGCTGGGGTATGGAAAATTCTTCCCTTACCATCAATGGATTTAGATACTGTAATAAATGCAATGTGTAACCGTAACATATCATAGAACCAGTGTGAGAACTCTCTTGGTTTAAAACTTTAGACATTCTTCACAGCAAGAACAGGTTGAAGATTGTGTTGATACTTGACATTCTATTTGCCTTTACTGGTGCGCATATTCGAATGTCTTATAATCATCTCATATGACTAAACTAGTTTGAAAATTGCATGATGTCTCAGAAGCATCACTATTTTAAAATCTGTTACCTGATCTACCACAACACACAGAGGCACGGCACGCACACACAACGCACACACACAAGATCAATGGTTTTTGCAATAAAAGCATCATCAGTGCTTCAGTTGTTTCTCTCGTCTTTTAAGTTTGATTCAGGATGAAAACTAACCATGTTGGGATCAGATAACATTTGCTGCAGGACTAGGAATAATATTTTATGCTGGATTAGCTGGTGAGAGTGTGTGGAAGGAATTTTACCAGTACTTCAGAGAAAGCAGATTTGTAAGTCTAGCAATACAATTTCCTCACATGCTGTTGTAGTTATTTGCGCCGTGTCTTTGTATCTATGGTGGGTCGTCACAATCTTATGGTTTGTAGGCTAGTTTTAGAAATTTTTTTCTGCCACTCCTGGAATCAGATCAATGATCAATAGTTTTTCTGCTGAGGGTCTTTATATCAATTTTCTACTATTGAAACGTCATATAGCCTTACCTCGCTCTCGAAACATTTTTTATGCAGATCCATGCCATGAGCATCGATTTCATGCTACTATCTTCATTTGCTCCATTTTGGGTTTACAATGACATGACTGCTCGAAAATGGTTCGGATTTCAATCTCATGCCAATCCTTATTCCTTATTCAGTCCTGTTTAAGCCTTCTTGACATTAATGTTGCATAACATCGCAATGAACTCATACCAGGTATAACCAAGGCTCTTGGCTCCTTCCGTTTTCGTTGTTGCCATTATTGGGTCCTGCCTTGTATCTCGTCCTACGACCGTCACCAACGACGACACCTGTCCCAGTCAACACTGCTCCATCTGAACCGAAATAATCTTGCTTCTAAAGTGAACCAGAACAAGAAAAAGGAAACTTGGCTGCAATGGTGGAAAAGAAGGTTCAGGTACAGGGAGAAGTTTTGTATCTCCACTCCACATATGTTAGATTAGGAAACGAAAAAATAATGTAAAATCAAATGATCCTGTGAAGCATTATTATGTTGATTTGATTAAGTAGCAGCACAATATATTATGCTTCAAACAAGGTTATTTAATTAATTTATTTATTTTTAACCTTGTTTTGACAACAGTCCCATGTAGGAAGAAAAACGTTACTTTTCAAAAAAAGAAAAAAAGTACAGCATTTATGATCATAATCAAAAATTTTTACTACAATATGTGAGGGTCGCATATACCTCGAGAATTTCAATACTACATTAGTCCGATCTGATCCTAAAAATGTGAAGGAACTCACGATCAAATAGATACTTTAATCAACATCGAACAATTGGCATAGTTATTTTCTTAATCCAAATATATCTTATAATGCAGAAGCCTCTAAATTTTTTGCGGACTAGCGTTGAATTGAGCGATCAATGTTATATGATTTTGTTATTAAAGAAAACATGATAATAAATAAATATATAATAATTTATAAGCATATAATATATAAATAAAATATTAAATTATTAAATTAGTCCTATATCTAAAGATTGTAACTCGAATGTACTTGTATTTAAAAAAGAGAAGTTTAAATTTCGATGTTAATTTTAGAGTATTTAAAAAAAAAAAGTTCTTTAAATTTTGGTGTTAATTTTAGTAAGTCTATGGTAGATTTATTGTATTTGAGTTTTATTTTTAATACTCTTTTAAAATTGAAGGCAAAGCTAAAAAATTTAAAAATCTATTGACACAATAATTCGATTAGATTTTGTTTTATATTCATGTACTTATTTGATGCATGTTGAAACAGAATAATCCAGTTGACGCGTAATGATCCTACGTCTCTAATACATCATCGTATGTTCCATAATAGGTCGCATTCTTCTATCCTTTCTGTGTACCTTAGGTGGAGGGTGAAAAGGCTCCCTTTCGGGGGGACCCAAGCTAGGGATGACAATGGGGCGAGGCAGGGCTAGGGGGCCCATCTCCATCCCCGCCTCGTTGGGAATTTTTTCTCCATCCCCGCCCTCGAAATTTTGGGGTGAGGACGAGCGAGGATTCCTCGAATGGGGACAGTTCCCCATTATAAATATATTTTTTTAATTTTTAATTTTTTAAATTAATTTTTGTTATTATTAGTATAAAAAGTGAACAAAAAGTGACTAAAAGGTATTAGCTTGAGTTTAAAAAAAATTTAAAAAGTATTTAGAAAATTAATATATATTAATATTATTATATAAAAAATAGAAAAAGTAATAAAAAATTAAACAGGACGGGGATGGGGCGGGGAGACCCATCCCCATCCCCGCTAGGGAACCCGATTGGGATCCTCCGTTTGATCCCGTCTCCAATCAATCCGAGAAATCCCCGACTCGATTGGGTCTGATACCGACGGGTATTTTTACCATCCCTAGCTCGAACCATTTGAAAACCATGGGATAAAACTCGTAATTTAACCTAAATAAAATACAAATGTAAGCATATATATCTTTTCTATTATAATACTTAATTTAAAAAAAAAAAGAATAAAACCTTCGCCATTTAAAATATTATACTTATTATATACTTGGAGAATATTTATATGATTATTATTTTTTTTAGAATATCAGACCTAAAAAATATGAAGTTTCATTTCACATTTAAGATTTATTTTTTAATGTATGATTTTATGTCTAGATTGACATTAATTATATGATCTCTCCAAAAAAAATAACACTAAATAATTAAATAATAATATCGTTAATGTAATAATTTGGTATTTTGTATTTGTATCGAAAGAGGAAGAATATTAAAATACGGGAGAGTGGAGGGGGAGAGTTTCAGAGAGAGTGGGGCATCGCAAGAGGAAGAGGATGAAGCAAGATGAGAGAGAAGAGCCTGAGGAGGAGATCGGATTTCAAAGAGACTCTGATTCATTGAATCACAGAAACCAAATTCTAATCTTCCAGCTTTCTCAAAAGCTTATCCATGGCGACCTCCATTCCCGAATCCAAGCTGCCAAAGATTTGAGGAACCTTGCTCGCAAGTCTTCCCCCAAGTCCCGCTCCAACCTCGGAGCTTCTAGTCTCATTCAGCCACTCGTTTGCATGCTTCTCTCTCCCAGTCTTGATGCTCGTGAGGCCTCTCTACTTGCCCTTCTCAATCTCGCTTCCCGCAACGAACGGTTCGTCTCTCTATCTCTTACACTCTCCTCTCTTTCTTTTCCTGTTGCGCTAATGTATGATGCGGATGCCCGTAATTGATCCAATCGCCCCATTAATTCGAGCTGCCTGCTGCTTAATTTCTGGGTTTTTGTTCTTTTTCCTCGTCCCTTTATCAATGTGGGGGTGCCCAGAAGGAGGATTTTGGATATTGAAATTTTACTGGAGTTCTTAGTTTGGGAGTGGTGAATGGGGTTTCGGAAATTCACTCTGTGTAGAATGCCGTCCTCCATATCCTTTCGCTGACTGTTCATTCAGTCTCACCTTTTGCAGAAATCCATTTGATAAATTCAATGTTTCACTGCAGAAGCTTGATCTTGTACTCTGATTCTGAACTTATTCTCATATTCGCCCCCTCCCCAGTCCCCCCTATTTCCCGACAAGGAAATTTTGGATATCGATGCAATAGGTAGCGAGCTTAGTTTCATTTCAGAATGCCATCCTTGACATCTCAGTTTTGTTATTCAGGATTTACTTGTCCAATTGCAAGGATCACTAGATTTTCCACTTGCTTTTTGAATTTATTCCTGGGGTGATGAAGTTATGAATGTGGTTATTCTTGTAGATCATTTTGTTGGAATATATGACTTCAGGGACTATGATGTTTGGAAACTTTCCTATTCTTGCATTAGTTTCTTTCCTCCCCCAACCCCGCAATTTAACTCTCCCAGGGAAGAAGCCAAGGGTTAATGGAGGATGAAGTAGCTGAATCTGAATGTTAGGTCTTGGTTTACTTACATTTAATATCTACATTATGTAGATTTATTTGTGCAAATGTCATCCAATTTTCTTTTTCCTCGTGCAACTTCGTGATTTTGACACGAAGAACCGTTTGGGTGCAATGGCTCCTAAATTGCTCGTAGAAACTGTTGCGTGGTGCGATTCTTGTTTCGTCAGGGGCAGGGTGTTAATTGAGTATGCAGTTCTCTGTGTTCTGGGTCATAGGCTGGTTTTCTCTTAGACTCTTAGTTTCAGTTTTATGACATGTTTTACAGCTGAATATACCATTCCATCGTCTCACACCATTCCTATTATTTCTTCTATTATCAGGAACAAGATAAAAATAGTTGCAGCTGGTGCTGTTCCTCCTCTTTTAGAGCTGCTTAAATTCCAAAACCTTAGTTTGAGGGAATTAGCCACTGCAGCAATCCTAACCTTGTCCGCTGCTGCATCAAATAAACCGGTTATCTTGTCCGCTGGTGCAGCATCTCTTCTGGTTCAGATTCTCATTTCTGGAAGTGTTCAAGCTAAAGTTGACGCAGTAACAGCTCTATACTATTTATCCGCCTGCAACGAAAGTGATAACTGCCCTATGATGCTTGATCCAAGAGCCGTTGCCCCTCTAATTGATCTCCTCAAAGAATGCAAGAAGCATTCAAAATTTGCTGAAAAAACTACATCGCTGCTGCAGATAATTTCCAATTCCGATGAAGGACGAACTGCAATCTCCAACTCGGATGGTGGAATATTAACTCTAGTACAGACAGTTGAAGATGGATCTCTTGTGAGCACAGAGCATGCAGTGGGAGTTTTGCTCTCCCTTTGCCAGAGTTGCCGAGAGACATACCGCGAACCCATTTTGAAGGAAGGTGCAATCCCTGGCCTGTTGAGACTGACAGTAGAGGGCACAGCTGAAGCTCAAGAAAGAGCTCGCAGGCTTCTGGATTTGCTTAGAGATTCTCCTCAGGAAAAGAGAATGAGCTCCACAGATCTGGAGAGAATGGTTTACAAAATTGCTGCTGAGGTCGACGGCGTAGGTCAAGCAGCTGAAACCGCCAAAAGATTAATGCAAGAAATGGTTCAGAGGAGATTAAACACTGTGTAAAACCGCATTCAGATTGGAGCGAACTGAACTCCAACTTGTACATTGCCGTAGATGTCTTCTTGACAATGCCACTCTTTCTTCTCCCCAGAAGGGAAGCCTTGGGAGAAGGGTTGAATTTTCACTTGAGGATTTGGTTTGGCCACTCTCTGCTACTTCTGTATTCCAAAGTAAATTGGGAAAAAGAAGCCAAAAAAAGAAACAAAAGAAAGTCAGTTGGCTTTAGATTTTCACTGGAGTAACTTCCATTGCTGATGATGTTGAGACATTATTAGTAGGCTGTATATTTTTGACTCTCATCTCTCGTACATAAGAATATCATTTTGTACATCAATCTCTTCTGATCTCATTACTTTTAATGACACCATTTTCTTAGGCTGTTGGAAAAGTTAAATTGTGATTTTGCCAAAATCGATGCTAAACAATATTTGCAGGGGAGGGGAATCAACAGGGTGGTACCCCTCCCCACGAAACCGACCCGACCCGACCCTTAATAATGTTATGAGATGAGTATTTCAAAAGTTAAAAACTAAATTACAAGTTCAGTCCTAGAAGGTTAATTTAACCATATTTGAAATTATATTGTGTAGGATATGAACTGTTTTTAACTAATAAATTATGGGTATGATTAAGTCTACAAATTAAAATGAATATCTGAAACTATTTTTAGGAAGATTGAAATTGATTATTATTTCTTTGTTTGAATTTAATCTATTATTCTTTCATTTCCATAGGGGAGAGTACTTAAATACCCTTAGTGCTCCATCTTCCTGAGATGATAATGGCATGCTTTGATGAATATCTAAACTAACATTAAAACTTCAAGATATCCATCTCCAATCAATTATGCATTGAAAGTTTTACCTTTTAAAACATACAAGTTTTTAAAGAAAAATGCGGATTCACAAAAGTCAATATTATTAGTATAGTTTCGAAAATACATTCCTCGATTAAATTTCCATTTTTTAAGATTAGATATTTAATTAGTCTCATCTACGGCAATAGAAAAAACCATTTATTTTAAATGTATTTTGGTATAATTAATTATTTATAGAGATGTATTTAATATTTAATATTTTTCTTCTTTATAACATAGTAGATAATGTAATTATTACTATCACCATCGTATAATCATTATTATCTAAAAAATTTATGATTTGATTTTTTTTAATTATAGTTGACTATTTAATATTCAAATACTTTACACATTTTACAGGCTTGGGCAAATAATTTTGGAAAAAATGTAAGTCCAAACTAGTTATATTAAATGAAGAAATAAAAATTGTGTTGACTTCAATTACGTTATTGCCACTGTCGGTGTGACCATAAGTATAGAGTAGACCGCTCCAGCTCAGATCACATCGAGAGATGAAATCAACGATCTTCGTCCACGTAATTCGAGTGGACACGTGGAAGCATCGTACGGTTTGAGCCAAGGGCAGTGCGCCCCACGGCTACGGTTACCGTAAGAATATCAAGTTTCTTCTTTTTAGTTTAATAATTAATAATTTATTTATTTAATTTATCGTCCGCCTTTTCTCTCGCCGACTACTCGGTCACTCTTGACTTTTTTTGGGCTTCGTAAAATCTAGCACTTCCCCTGCTGCTCACTGTTCGCATCTCACTCAATGGAGGGAGAAACAAGCTAGATGGAGTTCAATTGCTCGAGTCGTCTTCTTGATTGAGTCAGGTAATGGTTAATTCTTCTTCTTTTCTGATTTATTCGCTTCAGATCAATGTCCTTGCTGGAACTAAAGCTTAATTTTTCGTTTGATTTGTGTGCGTTTTTATTGTGGGTTCTGTTCGGTCATAAATCTTGGGGAAACCCATCTTGTTTCTCCATTTTTATTGTACATTGTTCTCAAGATCTGTAAGAATAGATTGCCCTTATTTTTGTTGTCGATTTTTGTGTGAACGGTTATTGGCGCTGTGGATTTCAGGGTGTTTTGTCAGTTCTTTGATAGTTGTAGATTTGGAAGTTGATGGTTGGAAAGATGTTGGGTCGTTCTTCTCTTCACCGAACTGGAAGCTTTAGACCGGAGAATCTGGGTCAGAATGCGCTTGCCCTGATTGGGAACCTTTGTTTTACTCTGTTTGTGGTTGGGGTTTTGATTTTTACAATTATTGCCGCCACATACGAACCTGAGGACCCTCTTTTTCACCCATCGACCAAGATCACTACCTTCTTGACATCCAACTCCAATGCCACTTTTAAAACTGATAGCACTGTTATGAAGACTGGGGAGGATTTCATGGCTGCCAACCAAACTGCATTTGCAACCTTCCTCAATGAAACTGATATTGTCAAAATCATCGATGCTGAAAACTCCGCCTTGGGTGCTTCTAACGAAGCAGCCTCGCCTGAGTGCAATGGCAATGTGGATGACCCCATCGATTGCCGCGACCCCGAGGTTTTCCATTTGATGATGGAGCACACGATCGAACTGTTCAAGGACATTCATTTTTATCGATTTGGGAAACCAGTTCGTGGGTCTAATGACAGCACCTGTGATATGGCGTGGCGGTTCCGGCCCAAGGAAGGCAAGATTGCTGCTTTTTACAAAGACTATAGAAGGTTTGTGATTACTAGATCTGCGAATTGCACTCTAAGTATCATTAGCATAGGTGACTACCATACTGGTGTGAATGCAAGGAAGAGGAAAAAGAATCCAAAACATAATTTTGAGAAGAAAATGGAGCAGCTAGAGCAAGCGGTCGCTTTGCCTGTTGTTGGGGAGGCTGTGAATGATTCCCTCCCCATGGTCGAGTCGGAAGGCTCATTTAGTCATGGGAAGTACTTGGTTTATGAGATGGCTGGAGATAAATGCAAGAGCATGAACCATTATTTGTGGAGTTTCCTGTGTGCTTTAGGTGAAGCTCAGTATTTGAACCGCACATTAGTTATGGATTTGAAAATTTGTCTGTCATCTATATATACTTCATCAAATCAAGATGAAGATGGAAAAGATTTCAGGTTTTATTTTGATTTCGAGCATCTGAAAGAATCTGCATCCATCTTGGACCAGGGTCAGTTTTGGTCTGATTGGGAGAAATGGCAAAAGAAAGACCGTTTAGGCCTTCATCTTGTTGAGGACTTCCGGATCACACCAATGAAACTTAAAGATGTGGAAGATGCCTTGATATTGAGAAAGTTTGGGTCTGCAGAGCCAGATAATTATTGGTATAGGGTCTGTGAAGGAGAAACCGAATCTGTAGTTAAGCGACCATGGAATTTGATATGGAAATCAAGACGTATGATGGAAATTGTATCTTCCATTGCATCAAGATTAAATTGGGATTACGACTCAGTTCACATAGTGAGAGGCGAGAAAGCAAAGAACCAGGAGCTCTGGCCAAATCTTGCTGCTGATACTTCACCTGATACACTTCTCTCAACATTGCAAGACAAGATTGAAAGCGGAAGAAACCTTTACATTGCTACAAATGAACCAAACACGGCTTTCTTCGACCCCTTGAAAGATAAATACTCTACACATTTTCTCGACGAATACAAGGATCTTTGGGACAAAGGCAGTGAATGGTACACTGAAACAATGGAACTCAACAATGGGGTTCCAGTGGAATTTGATGGATATATGAGAGTATCAGTTGACACCGAAGTGTTTTTAAGAGGGAAAAAGCAGCTTGAAACATTCAACGACCTCACGAACGATTGCAAGGATGGAATCAATACCTGCAGCGTTGCATCCAATTAGTCATTCGCCATTTATTTCTGGAATTGTGCTGAATCAGAGGTCTTATTTCTGTTGCTTTGAGAACCGATTGATAGATTAAGAAATGACTTAGCTTAATAATGAGTTTTGTACTTGCATTAGTAACTATCCTTTAGTCGGACTAATGTTTCAGTTGTTGAGCTTCTGTGTTTGCTGAGTATCATGTATTATATTTTTTTCTAAATTTATAATGATATTTCAGATTGCTTCGGAAACATAACTGTTTATAAGGTAGCTCATAGAAGTTTAAGATTTATCATTCAAAAAGGTAAAAACATCAGCAGGAAAACTAGATGACTCGGGCTGCTAGCAAAAGGTGATTAGCTACATCAACTCAAAATGTGAAAGTCAGTTTCAAGACTGCTAAAAAAGGGACAGAAAGCTTCATATTTACAATGAAACTAGGGGTCTGAGACCCATTCACACTCATCACGCTTCAACTCCTCATGCATATGAAAGGTACAAATGCCATGGCCTGCGGATGCACTTTTAAGATTAGCTATACACTATGTTGCTGCTGTACATATAGTGGAATTCCTCAACCACCTTATTCATTCATAAGGCTCACCAGAAGCAGGAAGCTGTCTCTTCTTCGGGCATTAATGGAGTCCGGCACAGTGGGCATGTAAGGTTCCAGTAGTCCAGCCACTTCTCCAAGCACACTCTGTGGAAAAGATGGCCACAAGATAAATGGTTTATCTCTGATTCAGGTTCAAACTGGGTTAGGCAGACTGAGCAGTCCTGTTCTAGCCATTTGCAGCTGTGAACTTTGTCGTACAGAATTGCTGGGATCCGGCTGCGGAACTCTTCAATGTAACTTCCATTCGGGTTAAGACGGAACTCTACAGATTCAGGAGCATTCTCCATGGAGTCTGCTGACGATGTAGGCGACGAGAGATGGATGCCAACAACATGGAGAATCGATCGAACTAAACCTTTGAAGATGGAAATTGATAGGGCTGTATTTACAAGGATCACACCCAGTACACCTTCAGACGGGGCAGGAAGGCTGGAGAGGCCCATTTTGATCAAAATTTTAGGTAGAAAATAAGTCTTGAAATAGGAAGAACTGGAATCAGCTCAAATGAAACGAAGACCAGTGGAATGTAAACAAGTCACGGTTCTGATTTCAAAAGGTTCTGCAGTACGATCCTTTTGTTGATATCTGATCTGAAAATGCACAAAGGTGGAAGAAGTGATGTTGGAGTTTCATGCAGTAAACAAAGAGAAGAAAAGTTAGAGCAACTTATGAATCATCATTTACATAAGAGGCAAAGTTGGAAAATGAAGAGCGGAGGAAAAACTCAGTCAGACAGAAAGTGACTTAAGAAATAGAAAATTACAACAGCAGAACCTGCAGACAACCAAAGAAATCAAAATTTGGACACAGTTAAACCTTCGATACATTGTGCTCCTTTTTTTTTGTTATTTTTAATGGTTCTAACAGGGAAATGAAGGAGACAGGTTCCCACTGGGAATGAAAACTTCCTTGAGTGAGGATCTGTTAAGATGCTAGAGTCAAGAACATGTCTCAAAAGGACCAAAATTCACATCCACTGCCAATTTTATTACAGAAGGAAAAAGAAAAAACGTAAAAGGAAAAAGAAACAGAGAGAAACCCAACAATCAGAATATACCACAGAATACAGATAGTGAGTTTCCATTGTTCAACTTCAAGATTTGTGCAATCGATTTACCCAAAAACGACCCCCAAAATGCTTGAAAAAGTAATCGAAATTCTACAAAAATAACACCAGGACATACCCCTTCTCGGATCAAATCCAAAACTTCCCAGAAGAATCCAAGGGATCCAGAACTCATCCTTGCAAATTCAGAAAGAAAACCCAGAACCCATGACAGCAAATGAAACAAAGATCATAATCCCAATTTACCAGATTGTGCGCGAGCAAGAAAAGAAAGGAAGAGAGGAGAGGAGACAGTACCAGAATTTCTGAGGCATGCCGTGGAGAGGTGAGAGATTATGAGCAGGAACTGGAAGAGCTCAGAGATCATGAGATGAGAGGAGAGAGAGGTTCAAAGAATCGGTGAGGTTCATTTTTCCTTTTTGTATGTTTTGTTAATGACAAAGGGTCTCTAGTCTCCTAGATGGTTTTATACACAGCAGCCTCCTCCTGTAAACTTCTCAGACAACCCCAAACCTACCTCTCCGCTTCTGAAGGAGACTAACCCACGTTCCTAACCCTGGTTACATTTCTGTCTCTTCTGCCACACTCTGCCACACCCCCAAAACCCCAACCATGGTTACTTTATATCATGAGGTGAGGCAGCTGAGTTTACCCCTTCCCCCCTTTGAAAAACTTTTTCATCTCATGGGGTTTCCTTTTCTTCCTCTCTTTTCTGTTTTTCTCCTTGTGGGATGCGATGGATTGGTCTGAGACAGCAGGTACAGCCACTTATGGATCAAAGTTACCAACTTTACAAGTTACAAACTGCCACTAGAGGAGGATTAGTAACTGTGGATTATTGGTGACGTTATCTGCTTACCTATAAATCTGATAGCCCAATAATTTTGCTCCCCAACTCCTATTTCCCTTTTATTTACTTTCTTTGTTTTTGATGTGCTAACTGCTGAGGATCTGAATGAAGTTGCTTTTCCATAAGGCTCTGTTATTGACCTTTTTCACGTGCTATGCTTAGGTAAACTAGGTTCCTTTTTCAAAAGCCAGTTGTTTTTTGTTTTGTTCTTTTGCTAAATTGTGGGGAAATCTAATTAATGTTAAAATGACAAATTTAGTCTCTGAACCTGTTGAAGCTGTCAAATTAGTTTTGAGAGGTTTAAACTTTTAATTTTCACAGGTTTTTGAACTTTCAATTAGACATTTTTTAAGAATTTATACACTTATAATACACAAAATTGAAATATCGGAGTTTTATAGACTTTGTGTCAAATAGGTTTATAAATTTAAAGAAATATTGAACTAAGTAAAAAAATATGTCAAATATGAAATTAAAAGTTGTTAGATTTATTAGATACGAAATTGAAAGTCTATGACCAATTAGATACTTTATATATTGGAAGAAGACATAAAGCTTCAAATAAATATGTGTGCAGATACTTTAATTAGTTGAGCCAATCTCAAGTTAGATGTACGTGTGTGAAAATGATGGATTTTACCCATCAATTGATTTAAAATAAATTTATATATAGATGATGGATTGTTTATAAGTACAATTAATTATTAAATCAAGCAATCATTAATGAAGATTAAATTAGCCCTAATTTAAAAGTTAATTATTTTAATTTATGACTATAAATTAAATAATAAAATGGACGTCATATTCTGTCATGTAATCAATACATTATAGAATATTACGACATTTGAACACAAATTCATCATAGAATATTACTACTTTTGAAGAGATAAAATTTGATGTGAAATGAAGAGCTAATCCCTAATGTGGTGCACTGTACGATTCGTACATCAATACTTTCTTCAAAATCATTAAGTTTGAGAAGTCTTTCACTCTTAGAATGCGATTTGGACTTTTATTTTATTCATTTCTGATATATATTTATAATTCTTTTTTATAAACTACCTAAATTGTACTTCTTGATAAGATTAATTTATCAAAAATAATTTATAAGATGTCTTACTTTACACTATACAAAATTGTTATCGATTTTACACTATACAATTGCAAAGGTTGAGATTGAATCATCAATTTTAAAGATTATAATAAGTGACTAGCTAATCATCATCAAATTAAAAACAAGAAAAAAATCATAATGTCAAATAGGTAGAAGTGATGTCAAATTATGAAAATTGAGGAAGGAATAATAATTTTTGCAACAAAGGAATTAGAATTTGGTTTTGGTAAAGAAAAAATGTGAAGGGATGAAAATATTTGAGAATAGAGAGAAGCATAAAGGGCACCACTTGCACTTGGTGTGTGACAAATAATCCAGTACGGCACTTCTTATCCTGTGATGGGATGAAGGCCGACGTGTCGGCTATCGGTACAGAGTTGTCCTTTGTAATACGAATTTCATTTACGACAATCGTACTGTGCCCCTTGTCGACGTGTCGTCCAGAGGATTGGTGGGCCGACAGAGCATCCCCATTATTGCACAAGTGTTAACATTTGGGAACCATTCAGAATATGGGACATATTATATATATATAGATATATATATTTTATTATTTTTTTTTATATATATACTCGAATTTCAATTGTTTCAAATTATTGGGAGTAAGCAATGTCCCCATCACTTTCAAAACATTTGCCATTACTGTCTTTTCCATCCAACTTGGTGGGTCAATCAGTCATTTCACTCCCATTTTCTGCCCAAAATTACATTCTTAGATTATCTTTTTTTTTCTTTTCTTTTTTTATTTAATGGGTATTTTAGTACTACATAGCTGAGAAGGAATTTACATCTTATGGTTGGTTTTTGTGTGCATGAGATTAGAAAACTTTTGGATGATGGAAAAAAGAAGTTACAAATACTCGAGCTCTAAATAAATTTTGAAAAGTTGGTTTAAATATCATAGAATAATGAACCTCCCAATATTTATACTAGTATCCAACCCAAAACACCTTATATCATTAGTCGTATTTCTAACCAATATTTGTAGATTTGGCCCTTGTGGCAGTTTTAGAAGGTAAATTTCCATAATTTTTAAGCTGCCCCAAACATAAAAAACTAAAAAAGAATTAACCGATCATTGACACCTGTATTTGACTAAGAGATCATATGTTCGAATCTCCCCTCCCCTTTTTGTTAAAAAAAGAAAAACTAATATTCATGGAATAGATGCCATTATTTTAATGGGAAAAGAAAAAAAAAGTAAGAATATAAAGAAGATGAATTTTACAAGGTATAAATATAATTACCAAATCTGTCTCAACTGCAGATGCAGTATGACCTTACATTTACAAGAAATGGGGAAAGAGGAGAAAATCTCATGTTCAAGTTCAACCTTGGAACCATATATTCTGCTACTACTAACTCAACTCAACTGTGTGGTAAAATACATGCTGACTTTGTGCTATACAGACAAAATAATATTTTTTTTTGGCAATGGTGATTTGTGTTTTATTTCAACAAAAAGAAAAAGAAAGAGTCAAGTATAGTTTCTAGTTTCTGACTAACAATGGCTCAGTAAACAGATATTTGCAGAGGAGCTGGCCTTTATGGCTTGGGGCAAATCTTCTGCTGCATCGGTTATCTTTCTTGTTGGTTCGATCTGCCCTGGAAGTTTTACTCGTTGAACCTTTCGAACCTGCTTCTTCGAATCAACGTTTCGTCTTCGAATGAGATTGGTTGATCCTTCCTGTGAGATAATCAGACAGTTCGTTATCATGCATCAAAATCATCCACTGGTTACATAAATAAAGAATGCATCTTTCCAAAACATCAGAGTGATTCATTCCTTGTTGTAAAGCATAGTTAAAAATTGTACTCAGCAGCTTCTAGTCTGGTTCAGTGGGTCGTAATCGTATGCCTCTCCGGCTTTCACAAACCGTCCCTTCACACGCCTTCTCACGTCGGCTCTTGCCTTGCGGGTGGCGTACCTCACTCTTTTCTCAAACCTATAAGGTGGTTGAAATACAAGTGAGATAACATATGCAGGAGTGTTATGGAAAACAGAATTTGAAATGGATGATTCTATGATGTGCCAAGTCAGTTCATGCAAAAAGAACATAACGGTCAGATCTTAAAGTCAAGAGGACTCTTTCGCCAACTACTTTTGCTTGGGGGAGGGCGGGGTTGGCTCAGAAACTCTTGAGACTGAAATGGCTTTGATGAAGTGATAATTCCAATGATATGAAAACAGAACGATTCACTGCCCCGCCACAGCCCAGCAGGAAGAAAGGCAAAAGTTGGCCTATTAAATTCAAGGATTGGAAGCAAAGGAGGCAAAGAAACTTACTTGCGCGCCTTCTTTTTCTCCTTATAACGCAGAACGGCATTGTTACGATCAGACGATGGGAAAGAACTTTCAGTGCCAGGGGCACACCATGGAGGCTCTCCCATTAGAAGCATTGAAGAGGCTCCACAGTCTTGATAATCACCAGCACTGCTCTCGCCAGTGAGGCCAGAAAATGACAGACCCGATTGTGCTTGCCTTGTGTTGAAACAAAGAATCGGTTCGGTTTTAGTACTCATGATCGAATCGGCAGATGCACCATTGCTATAGGCTGGCTGCATCGGTTTAACCACTCCAACGGAAGACCCCTATGGAAAGTCATTTCAGTTCCAGTAAGGCTTTTAAGTGAAACCAAATAAGCATATTGTAGTATAAATGGGATGAAGGCACAATTGCAGTGTTTCACCACAAAATAAGGAACACTCAAAAGACATGGTTGATGTATAGATAAGAAATTTGACTTCCAGTTATTCTGAAAAGCAGGCCCCAACCATCAAAGGACTATATTTCAACCTATAGACTTCGAATTCCCCCGCCCTGCACAAGCTATCCAGTGAATGATATAATCTTTGTCATTTCTATCGAATTAGTCTCAATCAAACGTCACAAGTTGTAAGCTCTGCTTCATACTCATGAAGCAGCTTGAGTTAAACTAACCTCCAGAACCAGATATATCTAGGTATGGTAAATCAAGAAGGTGGTCAGATTGAAGCGTAGTTTTCCAATAGCATAGAGCTTGGAAAGCTCGGACCAGTGAAGATTCGAGCAACTACTAGACTAGACTATGTTGAGTGACATAGTGGTTTCTCAGTTGTGGTGCAAACAAACATTTATTTGTGGGATTTTTTGAGTAGGCTTGCATAGTCTCATATAAGATAGCTGGTTTTACTTTGAGGACAATGTTAAAATCCAAACCATATCGTAGTAATATCCGTCATATGTTAAAGACCAAACCTTATCATATGGGTCCAAAAATATCAACAAGGGGAACACAGACGGAAGCATATGGTAAAGCAGAAGATCATATAATCGAGGAATGTTAACAAAAAGCTTGGCTAGAGAAATTTCATAAGGAAAATGAAACAAATCAAAACAAGCACCTCTGCAGCAACTGAGCCATGGCATATTGAATCTTCGAAAGACACGTCTTTTGCCTCAAAAAGGTTGTCGATTCCACAGTTCTCAAAAAGTTCTTCAGGATTATTAGAGCCTACACCAAATAATTCCTCATAGTTTTCAAGACTCAAATCCATTTCATCCATATCAAATTCCTTGTAGATGTCATCATCTTCGCTGCAGAGTCCAGCAACTTTTGTTCCAGGACAGCAAAACTGCATACCAAAAATGTGATGCTTGAAAAAATCCTTGAGGACCAAGAAGCAGATATTGGGAAATCTGCAGCAACACGCATATGATTCCATATAATGACAACAGTTGACTGAATAAAATCTAATAGCATGTTTACATAACAATGTTCAAGGCTCAAATTTCAAACTCGAAGTATTATCATTTACAATTTCTCAAGTATATCTATCAAAAAGAGTTGTGAGAAGTAGCAGTGCTGTGAGAACATTTCTTGTAATCCGAATGAAGTGAGGGGTGTTAAAGAGGTCCACGATTACTAAAAGAAACTTGAATATTGGATTCTTGTGTGATGTGAAAGAAACTGCAATGAGAATAGAATCGTGCGCTATCTAATGTTAAACAATGACACCATGGTAGCCATGTATGAGGAGAAAATCCACGAAAGGGTCATAACTAACATCACTCAATCGACAGTGCTAATAAGAGGAGAGAAATTCCTCCTAGAAACTATATTTGCAGGTTTTAAACAATAAACTTGACGGCAAATTCAAGTATTATCATAAATTTATAATGCACCTTGGGTAAAGCCACATTAGCCAATTCATCTGGCTGATCTGAAGTGTGAAGCTTAGAGCCAAAGTCAGTTAGTGAAGATGATCCAACCCAAACATTTGACTTTTCCCTGCTGCAAACATCACTAGATTTAGCTGAGCCAGGCATTCTTTGACTTGCGTTGTTTTCTGAAGGGCTCCAGGCACCGGTCAAGTCAGTCTCAGCAATGCTCATTAATCCCAACTCTTGCTCACAAGCATCATTTACAGAGGGTACATCCAAAACAAAGGACCAGATGGAAGAAAGTTCTGCAGCCGATGGACAGCCAGAGTAACAATTGATGGTTTGCCTCTTGTGTGATGATGAAGCAGAGGTAGACGTGCCATGAACTGTCCAGTCACAATTTTGACACAGAGAAATCCTCTCTTCAGTACATCTCACCGCTGCAGGTTGCAAATGGCATCTTTCACATAACAGCGTTCTAGAGTGGCGCCTCGACAAGGCATTCGCCGAATGGACATTTCGGTCACACGATAAGCACAAACAAGCAGCATCAGATCGGCAGTAAACCATCGACCTTTGATCCCCACAAAAATCACACATGAAACCCATGTTTACAATTGACATTTCAGACCTTTCAGAGTTCAGATTCTTCAGAGCTCTTGTCCAACAATAAGTCCTTTAAACCAAAGATTAGCTTCTCCGAGGACTGACAAATGGGGTAAATTTCTTTCTACAACCTTCAAACAGAATTTGATATGAAACAGATTAGAACAAAATATTTTGTAAAGAAAAAGCAGGATGCTTGAAACAAGAGGAAGCACAAATTGGAAAAGATATTTGTCTGTTACATAAACCAGACATGGGACTGTCTACTGCATTTATATCCTCCGATCCTTGCAATCATAGCCAACCAGGTAAAAAACCCAGAAAAAAAAATAGATGTGAAACTATAAAAAGCCAAAAAAAAAAAAAAAAAACCCAGTTCATTCAAATAGAAAGAATTTCCAAAACTATCATTTCAATGTTCTATACATAAAAGGACTATATGGGTAGATCCAGAAGGGTTGGTGCTCTAAACCCTAAAAATATAAAAACAGAGCAAAAAATTACATCCAGCACAAGAACTAACCATGCCATAAACAGCATAATTCCGTAGAAGTCATCAAACACAATAATGGAAAAGAAAAAAACTATCTAAGAGTCCTCAAAGGGATTAATAAAAGGAAGAAAAATCTTGGTAGGAAGGCATGAGAATTGTGATAAAAGGAATCAAATCAACTTGCCTTGAAAGGAAAAAAGAAAACAAAGCAAAACTTCCATTGGCAGAACATGACAAACAGAAAACAAAAGATCAAATTACAACAAAAGTCTCCAATCTGATGATCATAAGCTCCTGAAAATGAGAAATAAGCAAAAAGAAAGCAGCAGGACTCCATGGTTGGGGAAAAGGGTGTGGGAAAAAAAGCAGAGAAACAGGAACAAAAACAAGTACCGTACGAAGGAGGGGACGGAGGAAAAGATGAGTAGAAGAAGAAGGGCTTGATAATAATTGCAGCAAAAAGAGGGAAAAAGGAAACCCTAGAGGGTGGAGGTTTGTTGAATCTTTCACTTTGTAACTCTGTTCAGATGGATAGAGTCGCAGAGAGGAGGATGAGAAAAGGGGCAGATGTGGATGTGGGCATATGATGAGTGTGCAGAAAATGTGACAAGAAGGCTCAAAAAGCAAAAAAGTTTCTCTTTTTTGGCAGATAAAAAGTGCAAGGAGAGAGAAATCAAAGCTTGGAAAAAAGTAATCAAAAATGTAATTTATGTTCAAAAGTGGGACCATGTCCTTTTCCTTGTGAAACTAAATGTTAGGCCTTTTCCCTCTCTCTCTCTCTTGCATACATCAAAGCTTACCTTCTTCAAGTTTCCAATGTGCTTTTCCTATGTCTTCTCCCTCTCTCTTTATTTCTTTTCAATTAGTAATGGCTCAAGTGGAATTTTAAAAGCTGCACCATACAATTAATGACAAATTTGTATTTGATGTACAATTTTATTTTACAAATATCAAAACCTTCTCCCTTCTTTTATTATGGTTCATCTAATATGATAATTTTATTGTTAAGAAATTGGTTCAAACTCCAYGATGATCACTTACTTCAAAGATTAGTAATTCTTATGTTTTTTTAAGCCACAAATGTTSTAAGGTCAGACAGTCTAAACTGATCTGAATACTCACGGATATAAAAAAGATAATAATAATATTCTTATTTTTTATTTTTATTTTTTCTTTCAATAAATTAGTAAAAAAAAAGGGTGCGATCCATGCAAAATTTTATAGTTCTAGTTTATATCTTGAGTTTTTAGAGTTGTGTAACTTTTTTTTTCCTATTGATTTTTTGGCAGACATACCAGAGATAAAAAGATAAGATGTTAACTTGCTTGAAAATTAAATAATAATTTGAAGTACTTGACATAACAGCAAGATTATCCATCAACAATTAAAAAACTAATTATAAAGTGAGACCCACATCTTTATTTGTTGTTATATGTTCAGACAATATAAAAAAATCTCAAACAAATGATTCAACAAGTCATAGATTACCAAATCTTTTTTTTTTTTTTAGATCCTTGTTCCTTTACTTTCTTAGTAATGAAAATTTTATTTTATGTGTTTTATCAACAGAAAATGATTTTTCAGAAAAGCCAAAGATCATGCTTGAAAATAGTACAATAGTCTATAAATATGTGATGGGGTTGGTCTTTTTTACCCTTCTTGTGGCAACAAGCCATTTCCTGATTATTTCCTTTAATCGAAATGTATTTCCTTTTGCAAAAAATTGCAATGCTTTAGTTTTTCTTGTCAACATCTCAGATTTTCTTTGTCTAGATATATAATTATCTCCCCATCAAAAAGAAAAAAGAAAAAAAAAGATTATATTTATTTCAATGAAAATCCATGAAATGTAAATTTTTCTATTAACTAGTCAAGCATCGTATAGATTTTATTTCCTAACTAAATTTGGAAAAGTGGATGTGGAATATTATCTCGATTTTAAAATTGTTCTCATATTTGATCTCAAAGAAAAAAAGTAGAAAATTCAACTCCTAAAACAAAGAAAGTGAGGTTAATATAAAGAAGAAAAATTTTATTTTGAGGGTGAAAATTAGGAAGGCATCTTTATTCTTACCTTCTCTCTACAATGATATGTCATTATCTTATTTGTTTGGACTTTATATTTGTCATCAAAGCGAAATTAAAATGTTATGTCCCCACCTGTAAGAATAATTTTCCCTAAGATAAAAGTCATCAATATGAAGATGATGAGGTTGGCTATGAGAACAAATATAACTCTTCATATTTGCATTCTCCCTTGTTRTTATATATTATTCTATGTACGAGATATAAATAAATGGTGGGTAACTTTGGACTTTGAGATAAGTTTTTATTTAGTTCCGATCCTTAGAAACTAATTCTAAAACGTCTTTAGAATCAAACTATTATTAGTGTTATTAACTSAATGAATGCTGACGTGGTATAAGTAAGTTGGATATTTATTAATTTTATATTATTTTAAATTTAGGTGACCATTTTCCCTTTCTCTCTCTTCCATTCTCCTCCTTGAATAACTTCTTGTTTCATTCGGATCAAAATTGATCATTTACTACTCACGTTGACGAACCTCAAAACCAGGGACGGATCTACAGTAGGCCGAGGGGGTTCCCCCCCCTCCCCCATCTCAACTCTGAAATGTTTGAATTACATACAAATTAATATCCCAAATGGACATAAAATTTTAGATTCGCGTAGTAGAAGAAGGGTCCAAGCCCCAGCTTTCAAGCCTAAACGCACGCCATGGCGGAGAAAAGTTCGACAATGCTGAATCTTTTGAAACCACGACACTRAGTCACAAATCAAAATTAGAAAACATGTAAAATAAAATTAAAGTTTGATCATAAATAAACAAGAAAATTTTTACGAAGGAGGAGAAGGGAAGAGAGAAGAAGAGGAGAAGAAGAGGAAAGGAATAGTGAAAGGGAAAAAATATAAAATTAATATAAAATTAATAAATATCAAACTCACCGACCAACATGAATTTAACGGTATTGTAGTTAGCATCTATTATCACGTCAGTAAATAAAAGTTTGAATTCGAATCTATCCTCAACCTTGAGGATTAAAAGTGTATTGTATTTGTAAATAAACCAAACTATTTATATTCTTATCGAGTAAAACATTTTATGCATATCGTTTTTTATCTTTTTATTTTTCAAGCAAAAATGTCCTAATAAAATATAATCTAAAATTTAAATCAATTAGGAACATAGAATGAAAATGAATTATCTATCGACTATTTCCGTCCTTACAATTATCGTGGAGAAATAAAATTCTCCATCCTCATTGGAAATTCCTATACTTTTTGTGAGATAGGTCCCACAAAAATATCTTGTTGTAGAAAATAAAAATATCCCATCTTCATTGGAAATTCCCTATATGTCCTTGAAATATCTACTCCAATTTTCCAGACGCATGGGATGAATAGGCTAGTTTTGTTTGATTTTTTAGTTCAACGTTTCATACAAGAAAAATAAAACAAAACTTTTTTTCCTTCTCTCAAACTCGTTATTTGGACTAAGCAATACTTTTATGATAGGTGACACCACAAGACTCCATAACCTGATCGCTGCACCATTTTCAAAAACTTTAAAAAAAAAAAAATCAAGTAACCAATCCAATTTTCAATTTAAAGGAAGAAAGGAAAATAAAAAACCACTAAACTAAACACCAACTAATACATTAAAAATCACATTCATACCAAATTAATGAACAAATCTTTGTCCCATTTTGGTCAAGTGTGGGTTGGATTGATGAATTTTTCAAAATAAAATATTGCAAAATCTCAAAATATAATTATTTTTAAATACATTAAAATTATATAGTAGTTATAAATGCAAAAAAAAAAAAAAAGCCCATCAGTTAACCACAAGAGAGGTTTTTACAACAAGAGTAGATCTATCATAAATAATAGCATTTTGGTCAACTAATAAATTATTTTGTAAAAATGACACATTTAATTTAAGTACCTATAATGTATTTAATGATATGAAAATAGTAAATAAGAGTTATATTTTATGAATAATACAAATATGACACGTCAACATAAAATATGTTATGAATGATACAAAAATTACTAATCAATGAGATTTCCTCTATCAATGCTTTAGAAACGTAAAATGGATAATATAGGAAAGAAAAATCAAAATATTTGTTAAATTATTTTATCGGAGATGGAGAATGTGACAGATGGCAGGCGGAGGAGGAGAGTAGGGCAAAATTGGTATTCGAGGGAAGATTGGTTTGTACGGATAAGCATTGGTATTGATTCTGCAATCAATACAGAGCCCACTTGACTGATTGTGATTGGACGTCTCATTGTTCAACGACCTATTTTTGCTTTTAATAAAATCTGTGTGTCATATTTTGTTCTTAGCCTTTTTCTTTTTGTTTTTTTTTTTCCTTAATGGAAAAAGTTTCAACAACCCCACAAGAGAGTTGCTTACAAATTAATACAGCTGCTGTAAACTTTGCTTAATAGTGGTTTATCCCCCATTTTTCCATCATCGTATATTTGAAAAGAAAATTAAGAAGTTTGTGATTTTTTAAAATACATCTGAAGTACGTTTTTAACTACGACGATACTTCAGCAAATGATTTGATGTAAACTTTGACATGAACTTAACTTAATAATTTAATAATTTTAATTCGAATTGGTGTTAAGTTGACTTATGTGAATGTAATCAATAACAAATTGTACAACTATATGATTATAGCACATGTATTTGTCGTTCAACGAATATTCTACCATGGAAGATCGATTGCTATCAAAATTGACGCTCCATTGACTATTAATAGATATCTTTCAGTCATAATCTTCTCATATCGGAGTTGAGCTCTACTTCTAAACGTTAGCGACAATTTCGAGCTAAGGCCTAGACAGATGCCTGGACAAAGGAACGCCACATATTTACACTTAATTTGAACACTTAACAAAATTCATGTTAGCAAGTGGAGTTTTTGTTTACTAAAATAAAGTTTACATCTCATCCCATTTTAGCCTAATTATTTTAGCCCTCAGCCCAAACTTTCAAATGAAGATAATCATTTCATTCTGAAAGATTTAGTCAACTAAGTAAATCAAATAAATGACATACTAACATTAATGAGTACCGTAGAGCACACACCGCATCAGGTCAAGAACCAAAACAATATTTAAACCTTCGTGAAAGAAGTAATGTCTTCATTTCTAGAAGAAAAAAAAGGCACTTGAAAGCCTTTCTAGAAAGGGCTTTGTATTGAAATATCCTCCATCTATAAGATTAATAGCTTTTAATTGAATTAAAATTGGAGGAAGAAAAGTCCACTCTTTCCCATTAGTCTTTTATTTAATTTCTCTCTAATATCTTCTCTCTTATATTTAATGCCTCTACTTCTATTTGTTTTTTTATAAACTTCCATATGTTCCTTTCTAATCTTTTAATTTTCAAAAAACCGTTCTTAAACTTTACACTGAAAAACTAGTCTTCAGTTGACAAGAAACTATTCTTCAAAAGAAGAAGAAACTAGATCTATGTGAAAACCCTATCCCTAAGCACTACCATTTTCTAAAATCATTCGTATATTATTGTCAAACATTGTGACATATTTGGGATCATATTTGGGATGATTATGACATGACCGATCAAAATAACTTCTACATTAAAATCACTTCCTTAAAAATGATAGGATTGATTTTTTAAAAATGACGCAAATTATTTTGGCATTCCCATTCTAATTAATTAGTATGGCTTAAAATACCTATTTACATAAACATTTATTGATTAGAAGTTCTTCCTCAAGAGTCAAAATAAGATTTAAGCCTATTACATAAAATTAAACACATTGTCAACAATTTAACACGTGCGTACGTTTATTCAACTTAACCTAGGATTGAAAGAGATTCAACAAAATTAAAACCATTCATAAATACAAAATAAATAAGATCATCCCTCTAGAACTCGAAGACAACTTGATAAAAAAAATGTAGTTTGTGAATAAGTGGTGTGGAATGGAGACGAAGAAAACTTCATAATAAAAATAAACGGAAGAAGTGTATTTCAACTGGTTAAGACATATATTACTGATGTTAAATCTACCCCAACCCCAACGTTATTGTCTTATAAATAAAATAAAATATAAACAAACGGAGGAAGTATTTTGACCAGAGGGAGAGGGAGAGGATTGCTTGTGGGTGAACTCTACTGGTTTTAAAAGCTACGTGTGTGATTTGCTTTGAGATGAGGGAAAGGGAAACCCCCCCTTTTTGGATTAAAGCCAAAGCAATGGGATTTATGGGTTTGGAGTTCACTGTGTTGGAGTCGAAGGAAATGGGAAAGGAAATGGGAAAAGGAAACCAACTTTCAGCCCAAAAGTTTGACAGTGGAGAAGCCATGGGGAATGAGGAGATTGAGTTGACTTGTGATACCACCAAGAATACTTTTTCTTCTTTCTTTTCAAAGTTTAGTTTTTTGACAAATAAGAGCATTTAATAAAATATTTTGGTTAGATAACCGCCTTCACCAAAGTGTAGGTATTGGTTTTTCTGATTTGTGTCGAAGACATTCGAATGGGAGAGAAATCAAGGAAGTGAGGAGGAATTCAACCCTTAATCTTTAGAGAGGTTACTGAATGAATTATTTACAAATCACGTCATCGACACAAATGGTTGAGAAACCAAAGGAGTGAGAAGAAATTCAAACCTTAAATCTTTAGAGAGATTACAAAATGAATTGTTTGCAAATCAATAAACAGAAATCGAGTCCACCCCCAGCCACGAGTGTAATTTGCCCCCATTTTAATGAACCTAACGAGATTCTCAAATGAAGAGGAAAAAAAATTTAAGAAAAAGAAAATAACAAAACCATTGTTATTTAAACAAAAGAGTTTGGTGGGCTTGAGGCCCAAACTACATCTCGCTTCTAAGGGAAGTGAGCTCCATGATCTCAAGAAAGCTTCCTAGAAGATAGGTTGGACCCGATAATAAATGAAATTTAGCTAGCTACCAAACAAGAACACCTTCATTTCAGTTCCAAAATGAGGGAAAGAAAACAAGAGAAACAAACTAACAAGAAACAACAGCAGCAGTCCACAACAATCATCTTACAAAATGATCGACAATTTTTTTTCTATCAACTATTGCATTTAATATATTATGAACACCCTCTATTAAGAGTTCTATCCAATAAAATAGCCATTACTACAGAGAATCATTCAAAGGAAGAGCTAATTCTAATATTTGCATCAGCGTTGATTTGGTAAACAGAAAACACGGTACCTGGAATTGTTTCCCTCATCGTTGATTCTTCTATTATAAAGCAGACAAACAGCAGGGAGGACGAAGAAGAAGAAGAAGCCGTATCATACTACATTGGCAATGTCGGGGACTTTTCGTTTCGTGTTTGCAGTTTCCCCTTCCCTATCTTTTCCATCTCTACATTTTCCTGAGCTCTTGCTACCATTTCTAACTCTTGCGCCCTTTGCTGAAGTGCTCATCTGGATGGCTTCAACATACAGTACCTTGATCAAGTTTCTAAACCGCCGTCGAAAACTTGGAACTCGTGACATGAAACCAACAATACCCTGTAATCTGTTACAGAAAATGGTTTAGACAACCTAAAAAATGACAGTCAATAGCTTTATCAGTTGGTAGAAAGTGTAAACCTTCTAAATATGGCCTGCAGCTGTGCTCTCCTGACGGTGTCGCTGGAAGGAAAGCCGAATTCGTCCCAATCCTCAGGTTTTTCATTTCTGCCTTTCATGATCAATATTCTCAAGCAGATTTCTTCATTTTCTTCTAACTGTAATCTCTCTATTTGCTCCTTCATGATCAACAATGGCCCAAGAAACCATTCAAACATTTTGTCCCTTGGCAAGTTTGTTCTTGTCAACTCCATATCATCAGCTGGAAGTTCAGGCATGTACCAATGTAGCCAATCGATATAATCAAACAATTAATCCAAGAGTTTGAAGCAAAGACTTACAGATGACCAACCCATGAGAGTTGGACTTTGCAGAGGAAAGCAAGCATCGTAATATACACCATGCCGGTAACTTGATGCTTAACTGCTTACAGTTACCCTTCAGAATGCATTCCTCAATGTTTTCCGTTGTTATCAGACCATCTTGGAGAAGTATTCGACCATTCACTTCACACGACTTAAACAGCCAATCCCAAACCTGTGGCCAATAAACATTTGAATGATGCAACATAGGACGGTGGGAGTCATGAAATAAGAAGATTTGGAGATGTACCTCCATACAGCGTTACCTGAACGTGTTTGTATTGTTGGATCATCCATTTCAATGTCATCGATTGTTCGGAGACAACTTTATGACTGTGTGAACCATCTCTTGCAGTTCTCTGATCATTAGTATCATTAATACAATCCTCCCTGTTAAGGTCTGAGCTCAAGTTTCTACGATATTTTGGCCTGGCTGTCACGAGAATGTATTAGATATAATTGAAACCCATCACACAAGCATTGCATTATATTAAGAAAAAGAAGAAAAGGTAAATGTCAAACTTTCTAGACCTCCCATTCAACAAAAATCATTGGAGCAGGAGGGGAGGGGGAGCAACCATCTTCACCTGGGAATACAAGATCCCTCCCTCAAGTATAGTAGATCATTTGCATATTCATCAAACATTGAAACCACTGACAATATATAAGCAATCCCCATCCGAAATGAGTTTTCCTACAATGCAATATCATCGGGTTAAACTTCAAACAAGCATGTAAATAAAATATCCATACACCGACACATGCAATCTCCCAAGATAGAACTGCCTGAATTGGTCACAGAGCACCTGATGAACAATAACTCCAGCATAGAGCCCTAGAAAGAAGCTAGAGACGGCTGCACTTATCACCGCTCCGATAACAGCCAAGGGCCATAAGATGATTGCAAGGCCAGCAAATGGAACACATACTGCCTCCAAGAATGGTCCTTCCCTACCAATCAAATCTTCCAACAGCCTCTTCCATCCTTTGAATAGCATGTAAGGACTTTTCCATAGCGCAACTAAAGTAATAGAAAGCATATCAACTGGAATACCAATCACACTGGCAAATAAACAACTTGGAAGTCTCGACAACCTGACCAGTACAAGGCAGAATGTAAATCTTCCCATAGATTTCTGAAAGAATGGAGAGGGGAGACAGGAGAATAAAGCACTCACTTCACTTCCATGGGCTTCTCATCACCGTGCATTAACTCACCCAGTTCATCCATGTATGAAAAGTAAGAATGGAAGCAGAAATCTGTAAAATCCACCACTATTGTGCAGCTTGCTCTAATCGTGGACAAACAACCATCCTATTTGTATTTGTGGAGATGTCATTTGTACGGATAATGAATTTCAAACAAATATGCTAAAGGATTAAAATTACTATCAAGCAATCACATCATCATCTGACAAAGAAGGTCACAAAGCTAAACCTGTTCTTAGACGTGTCGGGGAGTGCTTTTAAAATAAATAATTTTGGCAAAATTACTTTGATTATAAGCACTATATAAAAAGATTTTAATGACACTCACTATGAGATGTTTAATTCTACATTTTAAGAGGACTTTAGGCTCCCCCTGCGAATGTTTCTCCAATGCTCCGTGAGAAAGCACTTTAAGTATTTTTGTATATTACACATATGACATCGATCAAAGCCAAAACAGCAAATGGAACTTACAGCAAAGCAGTGATAAAGTTTGCCGGTGATCCCACCTCCGACTGCCTCGAAAGTTGCAAGTAGGGGAACGAAAAAACCATATCCAATCCCGCCAAGCAAGCTCCCAATTACGCCGGCGATTGGCCAAATCATCAGAGGCAGGGGCAATAAAACCAGCACCACAGTTTTAAGAACTGGCCCTAACCTCTTGGTTCTGAAATCAAACATCAAAAAATGGAATCCCAAATGGACACAGAATCGAAGGCAGCAAACTCGATGAAAAGGTTAACCAAAACAACAGTCAACAATGTAACTTATGAGAATGTACCTCGCCAGGCAGAAGAAGCTCCAGAAAAAATGCGCAGGAAAAAGCCCAACGATGACGGACGAGTTTCCAATCGCAATAATCGCGGCCGCAATAGGGCCAACGATTGCAGCTGAAACAAATTCACAAAGTAGATACTCTACCAAACATTCCATCGTCTAGATTGAAGAAAACTTCTCTCTAATTTTGAAATTTTCTAGAGTGGTCAAATTACCTTTGAGAAGGCCGAGGACGAGAAGCGAGAAGAAGAAAGGAAGGAAGGAGATGAAGCTCCAGAGCTTGGCGAAGAACCCCACTGGAACTCGCATGAGGGCAATTTCTGGAATAAACGAAATCAGAATCCAAAGAAATTCTGTTCATTCTTCACTCTCAGAGGATGTTGCAGAGAATAAAGCAGTAACAATGGAAGACGGCGCAGGAGGGAAGAAGAGGGAACTGTTTAAAGAGTGACGTGGCACGCCATACGGCTCACGGCGACACGTGGCTGCCAACGATGTTCGATCCCGGGAACATAGGAATTTAAATGAAACGTGGCAACTTTTGGCGGGAGCCGCTTGTGGATTAAAAAATTAATATATTTTATAAAGAAAATGAGAATCAAATATAATATCGGCTCACTTTAAAAGTTAAACCCCTTTTTAATTCACATGTCAGAACTTTCATTTTTATTTTATTCTTGTGTCTCAACTTTAATCTTTCAGTTTAATTTTTTTTTTCACTTGAATTTTGGCTTTTATGGTTATTTTATTACCAATATCTAAATTTATATATTTAATACTCTATTCATCTACATTTTTTTAGGCAAAATTATATACAGTTAACATGTTAGTGTGTATATTTAATAACAATGATAATATTACAATAATATATATTTTTTAAATTTAGATTTGAAATAGATATTATTTTAGTTAAAAGATACAAATCTAAAAAATTCATAAATTAAAATATAATTTAGACTTTAAATTGAGCAGTTCAAACTATCTAGAGTTTAAACTTTCAAGTATTTTATTGTAATTTACAAATTTCCTACACGTTTGACTATTTATTTATATAATTATTTCTTAGAATATTTTGACACAGATGGAATAACTATACTAAGTTGGTTAACGTGATGTAGAATTTGTTTACATAGATATCGCTATATAATAAGATAAATGAATTAAAGATACAGTCATGGTAGATTTCTATTAAATAATTTAATTGGACTTATAAGTTGGTTAAGATAACTCATTTCAAAATTGAATATACCTACTATTATATGTAAAATCAAACATTTGTCGATATATAGTACATCTCTATTAATAAATAAATGAACAAAGACGTATTGATGGTAGATTTCTATTAAATATTTTTTATAAGAAAAAACCATTTTCATTCAAAGTTTTGGTATTAAAATAAAACACTTGGCACTTAAAAAATCATAATATAACAGACTTTCTTAACCAAAAAACTAGCCACTTGCATATATACTTTAAATTGGTACATTTTATTCACCGAATCTAAAAATCACAGATGTAACATGGTGATTGAAGATTAAAGGTTCGTTTGGTAACGTTTTTGTATTTCCAATTTTTTTAAGAAATCTAAGTATTTTGCATCTAACTATATTTATTGTTTTCTTATTTTTTTGGGAATATTATAGAAATTTTACCAACAACAAAAATGAGTTTCTTTTCCCTATTTGTTCCAAAACATAAGTAAAAATATATTGTTTGATTGTACTTGAATTCTTGGATGTTGAGGTCATGCAATTCATTTTTTTTTATTAAAAATGAAGAAATAGAACGTTATCCCTCCGACTTTTAGAAAATGAACCAGAATTTCAAACATCTTCAATTAACCACAGAACTTGAAAGATGAACAATCAAATAAAGATTTGAGTGGCAATATACGAGTCATATACATTGTTGATGAGGTAAATTTTATGAGGTATGTATGACATTAATTTTATTCTATAAACTTTGATTTTTCTAAGGATATTCATTAATAATGACGACTTTGCCGTGGTCGTTGTGTTGTTTATGAGCTGGTCAATCCATGTGGTCAGGACTCTAATGTCATTTTTGTAAATGTATGTACCGACAGGAAATGAAAAGGAAGGCCTCAAAAAAACAAAAGAAATTGAGGGATGAAGACTTGAGAGAGAGACAAAATTCGTTAGAAAGTCAACCTTTTTTTAAAAATATTTATAACAAACAATAAATAATATTGTTTAAAAACTTTAAATCTTGTTTTTACCTTGGATTATTATTATTATTATTATTATTATTATTATTTAAACTTGCAGGTTGTTAGGGAGCTGAAAACGCTTTACCGCATCACTGGTTGAAGTCGACAATAAACTGGGTTTGAGAAGTTCGAACTCAATAGACAAATATCGCCCATGCAATTTCGAGAGTCCATATATAAGAGTTCAAAAAGAAAAAATTTGGCTCCTTAAAGTTAAAGTAACAACTTCTTACATGTCTACTTTTCAATATTCCGTATACTGTTCTTGTTGGGTTTTGGCAAAATATTCGAACGGTACAAGGAGGAGATGTGTTCCAACTACTATAAAAGGAGTTGCCTGATATTCTAGCTCTAGTTAACTGAGCGGTATTTACTTTGAAATAGTGTTTTGTGTAATTGGGGTCGGGGGAGAGATCTGTGTGATTGTAATAATTTTATACATAGTGAATTAGTCTTTATAATCTAGTCATTAGCTGCCTATAAATAATTAGGATAAGTTGCTCATCAGGTACGCATGAATCTCGATACTAAGTTGAGAATGTGAGTTTAATGTTAGGGTGAGTGAATTTTGTGCTCAAAAAAGTTTTTTAATTTTCAAACTCCTTCTTAAACCTTCTTGTAAAGATTGTTTTTAGTTTGGTCTGCTGATAATTTTGTTTTTAGTTTTATTATTTTAAAAGTTGGTGTATATTTTTCATAAATTTTTGGGTATCTTCTTCACATATTTTTTTTATAGACAATTTTGAATTCTTAACTATATTTAGAAACGAAAAACAAAGTCGTCAAAACTAACTTTTTTTAGTTTTTTCCATTTTTCGCTTAGATTAAAAAAAGACGTAGTGTTTATGAACTTAATTTTTTTAAAAAAAAGTAGTTTCAAAACTGAACCTTAGTTATTGCAATTTATTTTTAATCCATCGTTTAATCTAAACATCTTTTGTTACTTTACCTAATCAATAAATGTCTCAAGTTTTTTAAGTTATAGCAGTAATTTAGGCCGTGTTTGATGATSACTTCGTTTTTAGTTTAGTTTTAGAAATAATGTTTGTTTTTTTATAATCTCTTTGGAAACATTACGTGTGTATTCCTTTGTTTGGTTAATTATATAGTTTTTCTAAACCTTTTTAAAAAGATGTGCTTATTTTTTAAAACCAAAAAATTAGTTTAAAATTTTTTTTGCTTTTTAAATTTAACCAATAATTCAAATATGTTTCAAGAGGGATAATACTTACTAATGAAATTGTAAAAAACAAGCATCATTCTTAAAAGCGAAATGGTTATCAAACGGTCCTTAAATTTTTGTTTAGAGTTTAAAATTGTTTTTAAAAGTAGATAACAAAACATATTGATAGGTAAGTAGAACTTATAGACTTAATATATTGCCAGTACGAACAATAGTTTAGCGGTTAAGATATCTTACTTATTTTATTAGAGATCGGAGGTTCAATCTTCGATCCCATTTTTATTGTATTAAAAAGAGACTTAATATTAAAAACTAAAATAGTTATCAACGTGATCGATTTCTAAACGATTTATTTGGTTAAATTGTTGATGAAAAATTAATAGTAACAACTAAAATAATTTTTGTGCAAAATCCTACACCAACGTATTATTTTAAAAAATCATTTCATGTCTAAATGTATGTTTGGTATAAATGTCGTTTATGTCATTAGTCTCTCTTACTTTTTCAATTTTCTCATCTTATTAATTATATATATGGTCAACTTTCTCTTTTGGAATTTAAACAACTCGTATCTATTTTACATCATTAGTATCAATAATTTAATTATAAAATATGATTATAACTTACTTATGGCATTATATATATGGTAGTTGTACGTTTTTTTAATACGAAAGTACCAAATCACACGTCTTTATTTTATTGTCAACAAAATTATATATTTATTGTTTTGAAATGGCCAAAATTCTATTCGTATAAGAGGTGTTTCCTTAAATATCTTTTAATAATTGGACATATTATTATAAAAATAAAAAGATTGGATGTTTATTGGTCCTATTATTAATTTTTTTTATAAATAAAAAAGAAAAATTATAGAAAGAGATTTTTTGCTCATGTGTTAAAAAATGGTGGAATTTAATTTTAGAGGTTACTTTAGAGTGAATTTGCATGTCCATACATTTATCTTATTAAATGAAAAGCAAATATAAGATAATTTGGTTGGTTGGCTGGCAGGCATGGAGTATAAATAGAGAAGGCATACTTTGAATTGAAAATTAAAGTTGGAATAAGTAAACTTAGGTTTGAATTAAAAATTCAAAGTTGGGAATAAGTAAATTTAGGTTTAAATTAGTTGATTAAATGTAGTTTAATATATGCTATAATTGTTTCGTTTGAACATAGTTTAAAAATTTGCTGATATAATTTGGCTATACTTAAGCGATACTCAATACCTGTCTCTATTTTGCGAGTTTAAACTCTCGCCTCGTTATTGTACTAAATAAAATCAAATTGCAAGAGTGTTATTCATTTTAAAATAATTTTTTGGATAATGATATCTCTAGTATTTCTTTAAAAATGCAATTTAAAGCCATCTGAATTTTTTATAGCTTTTTTTTTATTTATTTATTATCAAACAAGAAACTCACTCAAATTAAGTAATTATTTCAAAAGTGCCCGTAGAAAATTAACGTAAGTTTATTAAAAAATCTTTATTTTAAAAGTCATCACAAACACAATTCAATTATTAATTCTTCCAAAAAATGCGTGTAAAAAATATTTTTATTTAAAAAATCCTTATTTCTTAAAGTCATCACAAACATACTATTAAATTCTTTTTTAAAAGTTGTAGTTAGTGTTTTGAAAAAAAAAAGGAAAAATATTGACGAAATACATCATTAAGGTCTTTTTTTTCCAACAATCGCATTTAAGGCGGTAATAAACGATTTCTCCACTCAATTAATACTCAATTGACTCATCATTTAAATTTTAAAGTAATATTGTCAACTCTCTTTTTCATTTGTAAAATTTTGAGAATTGACAACTCTTTAAATAAACGTCTACAGGTAAAATGGTGGGAGTATTTAATACAAATAATATGTCAATTAAGCAAAATAATTCAACTGATTAAAATATATACCTTCAAATCTCTATCCCACACGTTATTGTACTAAAAAAAATTAGTACGCCAATTAATAGAAAAATAATATATTTTTAAATGCACTACTTACCATTCTATTATTCAATTTAAGATGGTGAATACAACAAAAAAAATTGGCGTGTCAAGTAATTGTTTGTCTCATTCAAAATTAAAAGGGTGAGAAATAATTATTGCTTTCAAGCCACATGGTTGAGCAAGGAGACTTTGTCTTCACATGTTGAAATTTGGTAGAAATAGATTTGAAAAATATTTGGGAATATAATTAAATGTCTGGATGGTAAACTTTTTTTTCGATATTCTAAATTTCTAATCATTATGATTAAATTCAACCCAACTAGCAAAAACGAGTTTATAGATTCGCAGTATTTAGCAGATATCTTCAACTAATAGGTTGTGAATTATCATCTACGTCTTTGGGGTTAAGATAAGACGTGTAAGACTAATATTCTCAGTTTTTTAGAAAAAAAATATATTTAAATGAAGGTCATTTTTTGGGCTCTGGTTAGTCATGTTTTTTTTTTATTGTTTTTCTTAGCATATGAAAAAATAAAGCATTTTTTTTTTTTTTGCAAAAAAGAAAAAAGAACCAAACATTACTAAAAGGCCAAAATAAGATTTCAACTAAGGGCTAATGGAAAAGATGTGTAAATACAAGAAGGTTTAGGGAAATTTTCATTTTCACTCTTATATTTGGTTCAATTTATCGACTTTAACCTTAAATTTTCAATTCCATCAAATTGTAAGATTTCACCAAATAAGCATGGACAATTTCTCATGAAAAATAGAGTAGGCAACATAATTTTATTTTTGTACAAAAAGAAAATCGATAACAAATTAAAGGAGAAGTGTATCTTTGGTGAACACATCTCGTATCCATACTAGCTAAAATTGATCCACACTATAAGTGGTCCTCTCTAATTACCAGATTTGCGAACATCTAGTTCTCCCAATAAAGAGAAAGCATGGCATTTGCATGAGGTCATTGATAAATATTTGGAGTTTATTTACAATCTAGTCATCACCAACTAAAAGTTTCCAAAAGGTCAATTTAATCCAACAAAAAGAATGTCAAATCAAAAATCTATCCTAAATAATTAAACTTAAATTCAAGAGAGATTCAAAAGAATAGATCATCAAAATCATTAAGAAAACAAGTTTAAAAACTTAATAATACGATTACAAATTTAAAGATTTTTTTAAAAAGTTTAGTAAATATAAGATTGTGGGGATTTAAATTTCCAATCTAAAAAAGAGTTATATATATGTTTTTACCCTATACTCAGTATCCACGCTTAAGTTTTAAAATATTTAGGATAAATGTTTATTCAAGTGCGAGGTAATAATTCAACAAGGTTTTAATTAAAAAAAGAAATAAAAATAAAAATATGATTATATGTACCATTCGTTTCAACTGCCACCCGAAAGAATTGTAGTGCCTATACAAGAAGCCTTATAAAGACGACATACTCTTCATATACGTATAATCAATACATCTCTCTCCACATAACTCAACTGATTAAGACATACATGATTGATCAAAAAGTTGTAGATTCGAATCTCCACCCCACACGCTGTTGAATATTAAAAAAATTAGGTCGTCAATTAATAGAAAAATAATCTTTTCAAATGCCAAAGTTACCCTTCTATTATTCAACTTAACATGGTGAAATACAAAAACAAAAAAAAATGACGTGTTAAGTAATCGTTTGATGTTATGAATTTGATGTCGCATTTAAAATTAAAATGGTGAGAATAGAAAYGTCATGACTTTTCAAATTAAATTGAATTCAAACGGGCGTGGTCTACTGATTGAGAAATACTGTTTGCAAGCCACATTGTTAAGCTAGGAGACTGATCTCCAAATGTGGAAATTTGGTTGAAATAGAATTGAAAAGTATTTGGGAGTATAATTAAATGTTTGGATGGTAAATTTTTTCAATATTCTAATGACTCTCGTTAATTCAACCCAAATATATAAAATTGAATTTGGTAAACTTCATATCATATGTCTTTATGGGCCAAAGCGAACATAGTTCAACGATAATTTGCATATACCTCCGATCAAGAGAGTGTGAGTTCGATCGGCTACTCCCACATGTTGTACTAAAAAAAATCAAAATAATTTGTCTACATGGTTAAAGACAGAACTTCCAAGACTACTATTCTCAAGTTTTTTTTTTAATTATTATTTAAATGAAGATTACTTTAACAAATTAAACGAAAAATATATTGTTGATGACTATATCATTGACCCACACGATAAGTCGTCCTATCTTATCATATTTGGGAGCATCTATTTCTCCAAATAGAGAGAAAGCATTCCATATAACCGTCCTCTATCGACCTTTGAGTTTGAGGTCAAGTCATTAATAAATATTTGAAATTCATTTGCAACATCACAAACAGAAATTAGTTTCCAAAGGAATAAAGAAATGTAAAATAATTTATCCTATATAATTAAACCGACGTTCCATTCTTCCCGGAGCTAGATTCAAAGAGGTAGATCATCAAACTTGATAAATTTTAAAACATTAGGACAAATATTTATTTAATTGCGAGCAACTTGGTTTTAATTATAAAAAGAAGAAGATCAAATTCACGCGCGTCTGGGAGACAGTGCACCCCAAATAGTGTCCGTACGAGAAGCCAATAAATACCACCGCACCCTCCGAGAATAACCAACACATCTCTCTCTCTCTACAAGTTTTGCAGGGACTGTTACTCTCTCTCTCCATTTCTGCAGCAAATTCAACAAAATGAAGGTACGTAGTACGGATTAGGCGGCGTAGTTGATTAATTAATTCGTCTTACATTTTAACGCAGTCATCGTTAAGTAATTTCTACTTCTTCGTCGGTTGGGTGTGTTCTATTTTGATTTTCATCTCATATATCGATCGATCGTGTGTGGATCTTGCATCTTACAGCAAAAGATAGTGATCAGAGTATCGATGAAGAAGGGGCAGAAGTACCGCAGCAAAGTCTTGAAGATTGCAGCATCCGTCTCAGGTAATCATCAATTCATACGTACGCAAAATAATCTGTTTGGATTAATTAATTCGAAAGAGAGAAACATAAATTAAGTTTGTATTCACACGCACTCGATCAGAATCGATCAATGTGAAATCGGATTGCGATTTACAATGCTTCGAGATCCGAATATCAATTGATCGATTTTCGACGGAACTCAAAATACAGGGAACGTTGAGAAAATAAGCTTGGAAGGTGAGGACAAAGATAAACTGGAGGTAATCGGAGAAGTGGATGCGATCGAACTCACCGATCTGCTTCGAAAGGGCTTCGGTAGCGCACAGCTGGAGTCGGTGAGCGCGGTCGACGGTAAGGATAAAGACAAAGATAAAGAAGAGCCCGGGATTTGCTGGACCAACGCTTGGGGTCTACCTTATCAATCCTATTGCAATTGCTACCTTCATCCTTCCTCCTCCTCCTACTATACCATATGGTAAACACAGCCACAATTCTCCGATTACGATTCCTCAAAATCTACTCGATTTTTACATGTATATTTGAATTTATAATACCTATTTTGCCATACTTAAAATGCTTCAAAATTCTTGGAAAGATCAAACTCTTTGCTCATTTGCTTCTTGTTGTAGTGTTTGGATGTGTTATCTATATATATGTACAAATTATATTGCACCATGAAGTTTGAATGCTTTTTTTATTCCCTTTCTAATTAATGATTATTTCTCAATACGAGCACAAGCACTTCTTCTTGTGCCGTTTGTAAGAGGCAAATTTGTGTTGTCTTTTTGTGTATAATATATTGCCATAATAATCTTAGTAAATAAAACTACCACCATGCAATATATAATATTGGAAGTTCAAATCTTTATATTTCATGTACTTAAAAAAAACAAATGATAATTTTTTAAACATAATTTAACTGGTAAAGTATATATGTTTTTGTAACTTATAATTGGAAAATATGAATTCTCACTTTCATTGCACTCTTAAAACATACATTAAAATATAGAATGGGAGAGAGAATATTTTTTTCCAATAAGGTATTTACTATTTACATTAAAATAAAATATATAAATTGACTCGAGACAGACCGTACATATTTTTCTATACGTATATATCACTCACAGAAGGTAAATTCAAAGACATTATTGGCCTCTGCATTTGGACCCACTAGTCAAAACCCCAAGTGTGGCTTAATTTATTTTAGTTCGATTTAAGTAAATACAATTAAACAAATCTACTATTATTAATTAATTTATATTTTTTACCTCACTGGTAACTTATAACCATCTCCGGGAGGAAAAAATTAGCTTTCGTTTCTGGTTTAATTTTTTTTCGGATAAAAAAAAAACATAATTGTTTTTTTAAATATTTCTTGTTTATTATTTTTTATTAAAAAAGTTAGTCATTAAATTTTAAATTTTAAAAGCAACAATTTTCTATGAAATTTTATTTTTTAATTAAATATCCCAAGTTGTAACGTTATTATTGCTTTTTAATAAAATTAGAAATGAAAAAGAAAAAGTTAACCAACCAACTTTGAGATATTTAAATAAAAAAATTAACTGAATAGGTAAGAGGCTCTTGACCTTGAGATATTCAAATAAAATTTTCTGCATTTTAACTTTTTATTTATTTATATAATATACTTTTACGAGTTCACCTAAAATGAAAGAGAATCTACCATTATTACGTTGAATCTTATGGCAGGCTCACTATCGGGCCTGAAGTTTACATATTGACCCAAACTCAGATATAATTTCGGCCCAAAATTAATGTTTGACCAGCCCAAATAATTTATTTTTTAAAAATAAAATGACTTGAGAGGTAAAAATATGATATAACAAAATTTATTGATGATTACTTTTTTTAAAAGTAACAAAAATTATACAAAATAATAAAAGAAAAACACACCTACCAACCTTCAAAAAGTTGATTTGAAAATAATTTAAAGGGTCAATTCAAACTCGATTTAAATGATCCATTTAAGCTCGATCCAAATGTTGAGGTATTGAATTAGACCTATAGGTTATGTCATGGACATAAGGTTTAGTGGTTGGACCAGTTCTAGCTCTACTCAAATAATAATACTTGAATTCTATATGATTTGTACCTTTGCTTCTTTTGATCAGTCCGACTTAATTACGAGAGGGAATCTTAGAATCGAATTTGTTTTTAATTTAGTATGTGTTATGAATTTGAAATTTTTATTTTTATTTTTATTTTTTATAATAACATCATCTTTCATTTAACAAAAGGTAACAAAGGCTAAAACCAATAACTAACTAAAATAATTTGTTAATTATTATGCCCTCAGATGTTAAGATTTTCATGCCAGGTGAACAAATTCAAAAAAATAAAACATAAGATATAAATAAATGATACTCAAATCTTTTAAATACAATTAAATTTTGAATTCGAAATATGTACTGAAAATTAGCGAAATATATCATCGAATCAAATTTCAATTTGATCAACAAAATTTTCCCTCATTCTTCCTTCTTAAACAAGCAAATAGAATAAAAGAAAAAAAAAAAAACAATGTCGTGGGGGTATTTCTGTCCAATCATGTAGGGTATTTACAATTGTTCTTTAGTATATATGGGTCAACTTCTTTCCTGTGAGAATTAATCTATCATTTTTTTTATAGTTAAATATTGTTAAATGATTAAATAATTAAATATTTTATTAGCTAACAGCTAACAAAAAATAAAATGTCATTATCATACTATAGATATAGAATATATTCATATTATTTATTATAGATTGATTTCCTGCCGATAAAACCGATATCATTGCCCAATATGAATTAAATATATAAATTATAGTTTGCATTTGATTTTGTTATTATTATTTTAGCAGTACGGCTCAAAGCAAGAACACGAAAATAGCTAAATGAAATCTACTATTTTTTTATTTAAATTTGAAAGTTCAAACTTCATATTTGTTATATTGAAAAATTATTTAAAGGCATCAATTATTCGATGAAAGTCAGACCTTTAATTACAAGTTCAGTCTAAAAATGTTAATGAGGGGTATAGACCAACATAACTTTAGAAGTTTATAATACAAAATTTCAATTTTATGTTCATTCAATCAATTTTCAAATCGATAATATTAGAAACAAAAATTAAATATTGAAATTTATAGATATTTTTAAATTAAAAATCTATTTGAAAATAAATTTGATAAAAATGCAGATTATACAAAAACGAAAAAGTTAAACCTAAAATTTTTCGGCTCATTTGATAAAATTTAAAAATATTATGCCCCATCTCCTCAACAATATATTTGTTACATTTCACTATTCTTGCACCCATACTTGAATTTTTAAATTTTAAAAATAACAAGAAGTTTTTAAAAGTTGATTTGTTTTTTAGTTTTTAAAGTTATAAGTGAGAGTAGTATTTATAAAATAGAAAATAAAAAACCAAAATGGGACTTAGAATTTTTTGTTTTTTGTTTTTTTAAATTAGAGATAGAGATTAAGATAATTGTGAAAATTAAAATTAAGTCGGACGCGAAATTCTGCAACTTGTGTGCCGACGGCGAGAGGTATCCGCATCGAAAATTCCAATTCTAATTTTTGAAATTCTTGGATTTGTATGAACTATGAACTAAATTGATTGATGTATGAGATGGGAAGAAGAGAATGCAATGTGGAATTGGAAAAATGGAAGTCAGCTGTTACGGTTTGGTGGGGCTGTGGCTCAACCAAAAGTCTTCGCCGATTGAATCGGAGAAGGCGAGAGAAAGTGACGATCTCTGACTCCTGATCCTCCTCAGATCAGATATTTCATTTGTTCCCAAATCCAATTTCAAACATTTTCAAAAGGATCTGTGATTTCTCTTTCATTTTCGTTGTAATTGGCTGCGTCTCTGTCAATAATAGAAACCCACCCCTCTCTCTTCTCTTCCCACAAAGTAGGGGGAAAAATTAGCGACAATGGCGGGATAGGCAGCGATGTGGCCGTGGGAGGAACGTGTGCGTTTTTCAACCTATTTTTCTTATCATCAATTAATAACCAACGTATTCAACTCTCCTCCACCGCCCCTCTTTCGTTTATCGCACCAGGAATATCTTACATATTGACCCAATATTCTCTCTCATTGTTTTCTTCTTCATACGTTTCCCCAAGAAAAATTTGCCCTCTTTTGTGCAATTTATTCAACCCCTTTGAGGATTGCCCAACCATTTTCCTACCCATCTCTCAAAAAGGTCTGTTTTGTTCCCTTCTTGGTATTGTGTTTTTCTTTTCGGAGGAGTAATTTCAATGCCATTCATGTTTGTGTGGAGAAAATGTATGTTGATCACGATGATTTTGCGATTCATTTTCTTGAGATGTACACTTCTGAATTTGTGTTCATGCTTTTCGTGAGCAGATACGAATTGAAAGTGTTTCAAGAAAACAACATACTGCGGGAAGAAGTTTATTATTGCGCTGTAATTCCCATGCCTGGTGATGGGAATTTGGCTGCCGTCGTGCCCTAACCGTATTCATGGATCGGCTCGGGAGTAACGACAACAAACAAAGCGTTGAAAGGCATTCCCATGTCGAGGTCTCTGTTTCTGTTCCCTTGGTTTTTCCTATTTATTTATCTACTTAAATCAGCCTTCTCGCTCGCTGTTTGTACCCTTAAATGTTGTTTTCAACCTACGCTTTTTAGTGATTTTTTAATTTAAATAACCCTATTGGTGGTGTAACAGATGGGATCATTAGGCGAGAAAACCATACTGGAATTTGAGGATGAGAGCCTCGTTAGTCCTGTATCATTAAATAGAAAGAATTTTGCTTTTGAGGCATCTATGCACGGTTCTCCATCATCTGGTGATTCGCAGAAATTTTGTTATGGTAACATGAAGAACAGAATTATTGACAGCATTAAGATTGTTGTCTTCTCTGCTAAAATCAATCTTCTCATGCCTTTCGGCCCTTTAGCAATATTAGTCAGCAGTCTTTCTGGTCACCATGTGAGTTATCTTCCCACATGTTCTCATCAATTCATTTTGGGTTGTTATCTTGTCCCATTATGGATCCATTGCTTATGTATGTGCATTTCAGGGGTGGGTCTTCCTTTTAAGCTTACTGGGGATCATACCTCTTGCTGAGCGTCTGGGTTATGCAACGGAGTAAGGTTTCTTCAATTTTAGATTACTTGTTGTAGTGAATCTGTAGAACTTTTTCCTATTAAACTTTGATTCTGTGCTTTGGATAAATCTATAGCTTTTTGGACTCTTGGATTCCATTTTATATCCTGGAAAGAGTGCAGTACAATATTTGAGCATTCTTTTAGTTTTTGGCACTTCTTAAACTACCCATTTTTCCATGCAATATTGGATTTGATGCACGAAAACATGAGCCATGTATAAGTTTTAAGGTCATGTCTCGCCTTGGACCTCCACCTCATGCCTCTGCCTCAAGGAGTTTCAGTGCTTCAAAAAATCTTGTTCGGTACAATTTGGGATTTGGGGGTGCATCCCTTCAAACAAATGTCTAATAGATTTTAATAAACAGGTCATAGGTCAAAAATGTTTGGGTCCATTAATTTGATATGCAAAGTTTCTCAAAGAATCAACTATATAACCATTAGTCCCCCATTTCCTTACCAAGTAATATAGAAAGGCCAGATCATTTTTTGGTCAGGTGAATAAAACAAACCTGTGTAATGTTTGCCTATAAATTTATTAATGTCTTATGCAATCTGATCTTCTTTTGATGCAGACAACTGGCATGCTATACTGGAGCCACAGGTAATACGATTTGAAGTTGGTTTGTTAATTCATAAACCGAATAGGAATCTTCTTAAGCTCGTAGAGATAAATATTAACCTTGATTAAACTAGTTGGTGGCTTATATTACTAACGGAGTAATGTGGAATGATAAATTAATAGCTTCTTAATTCGAGACAATTTTGGCCAAGAAGACTGTTGTGCTGTTACGCACCCACTTAAAATTGTCACAGGAAGTAAAAACCACTAAATTACAAAGCCCCCACCCGCTTCCCCTGTCCCCCCACCACTCTAGCCAAAGAAAGAAAGAAATGAAATAGAGTAAGCTTTTCTCCCGTAATGTTTTATTTACTTCTCAAGTTTAACATAAGTACCTTCATTCTTAACTTTGCAGTTGGAGGTCTTCTGAATGCTACTTTTGGAAATGCCACAGAATTGATAATATCAATATATGCATTGCGAAGTGGAATGATACGTGTCGTTCAACAGTCATTATTAGGTTCAATTTTGTCAAATATGTTATTAGTACTTGGATGTGCCTTCTTTGCTGGTGGAGTTGTGGTTTCTAAGAGGGAGCAGGTCTTCAGTAAGGTTTGTTTTTACCTTGATAGGAGTCCTTTTGGATACTGTTTACTTATTGATCTCTGTTCTATTTCTCAAGCATACATCATGCGAATGATGCTCTCTTATTTTTAGGGATCTGCTACAGTGAATTCTGGATTGCTGTTGATGGCAGTAATGGGACTTCTATTTCCTGCTGTCCTGCATTCCACACATACAGAGTTGCACTTTGGAAAGTCAGAGTTGGCTCTTTCAAGATTTAGTAGCGGCATTATGTTGGTGGCATATGCTGCCTATCTTGTTTTTCAGTTGAAAAGCGAAAAGAACTTATATCACCCGGTTGATGTGGTCGATGAGGTTGATAGCTCTGCTTTCATACATGACCTAATGAGCATAAACTATCTTACATTCTAGTAACTAGTTTTTTTTAATTCAAATGCCATACCATGGTTGTTATAACACCTGTACCCTCAGTGGCATGATCAGTGTGCAATAGTCTTTAGATAGAGAAGTCTAATAACTGTACAGTGGCAGCATTTCACTAAAGGTTCATTTTGCTACATTGTAGATCTAGGTGGTCTTTTTTGTTCTTAATTTTGCTAGATATTATAGTTTTTAAGTATCTGATAGGAATCGGGAATCTTTTTAATTAATTGGCTAATTTTTTGAAGTGTTTCCAGAGCCTTTATTATCTCTTGGTTCTTCCTCAGTTAGAAATCTCCATTAAATTTCTAGTGTCTCACCATTGTACTGTTATATTCTTCTCCTCTTTCTTTTCTCTTGCTCCCTAACTATCTAAGATAGAATCAGCCAACCAGGAATGATGCCAACACAAACCTTGACCCCTTAACTATCATATTTCCTCTTTTGAGGAGCAAACTCGACTACTTTTCTTCTCCTGCTAGCTTCTTACGCCTCCTCATGTGCGTTAACATGGGAGGAAGTTTATTGATATCTTTCTTCTGCAGTTTATACAAGAAGTTTCTGTATCTTTACTTGACTTGATATCTGTTACGTGGAAAAATATTGATGCTGAGAAACACATATGAAACTTCTGTAGACATTTTTCAGAAACAACTTTTACCATGATATGAATAAATATATTTTAGAAGCTTTTTTTTTTTTAGAAGTTACCATGAATGAATATTTACTACTAGGTATTGTTTCTAGTCGGATGTATAATATAATGCTTGCATGATTGAGTTTAACTGTTTTTACTTGTAGTATGTATTCAGATTGGGAATCCTAATAACTCTACTTTTGGTCGCTGGCAATATTCGGTCTCATTAGAGTTTTGTCCTTTTTTTTTTGGAAAAAAATTTATGTTTGGTGGTTTAATATGAATAATTGGCATATCATAGGTGGAGACTGAAGAGAATTCTGATGATGAAGAATCTCCTGAGATATCTATGTGGGAATCCATTATTTGGCTGTCTATCTTGACCATTTGGATATCCGTCCTTTCTGAATATTTAGTAAATGCAATAGAGGTATTGTTGACTTGTTAATACATCCTAATATAAATCTTTTCCTTTTTTTTTTCCGTGTTGTTGCCTATTTCTCCCTTTTCTCCTCTGCGAAGATAATTCTCACATTATTGCATATTATCTGTACAATTATATGGTTTATTTGATTACAATCTCAGGGGGCATCGGTTGCCATGGACATACCAGTAGCATTCATTAGTGTAATCCTACTACCAATTGTTGGGAATGCTGCAGAGCATGCGGGTGCCATCATGTTTGCCATGAAAGACAAGCTTGTAAGTGCTTGCCCTTTTATGTGCCTTACAAAATGATCTCTGAGGTCCTTTTCTCTAATCATGTCTTGTGTAGGACATTTCTTTGGGAGTCGCAATAGGATCATCTACGCAGATATCTATGTTCGGGGTGAGTTCTACACAACATATTTGATTTTATTTTGCTGAATGAAATACATTGGACCGAGCGCAGTGTAGTTGGATATTTTTTCACTACCTTGCAGTTTGTTACCCTTGTTATTTTTTTCGTATTCATCAGCCTAAATGGCACAATATTCTTTGTGTTGCACCTATACTTCAGTACTAGAGAGTGAAGGACTGCACCCATCCATTGGTTAAGTCTAATGATGGAGGTCATTTTGCTTTCAAGTTGCCAATTGTCAAACAATCAGAAGCAAACCCTTTTGCTCCCCAAATGCAGTTTTGATTTTCAAACTTTGCTTCAAGAGAACTGATATGGATATGGCACATAGGTCAAAACAAAAGGTTTGATGTTTATAGGTCATGAGTTAAAAGTCTCAGAGATCACCTTCTAAATTATCAAAATTTCTTATTCTACGTGGTATGTAATCAAGTTCTGCCCCTTGAAAATAGTTGAGCTGAATACAAGCTACATTTGAAACGGCATTTTGTTTTTTATTTTTAAAAAAGTTCAGCTTTGCAACCCCAACTATTGAAGGACCGGCCGACCATCTTTTGTCCGTTGAACAGTGTTTTTCCCCTCTTTTAAATGCAAAATCTGCCGTAAACGGCATAACGAGCATCATCATCACATACTAAACCATCATAGAATTGATCTTGCTTTTTTAAACAAACATATGACTGCTGATTCCACGTTACCTTTTCTTCGTTTTCTCCTTCTTCCATAACCTGTTCATAAATTTTTATGACTGCAGATTCCTTTTTGTGTGGTCATTGGTTGGATGATGGGAGTCCCTATGGACTTGAATTTTCAACTCTTCGAGACCGCCACGCTTTTCATCACTGTTATAGTTGTCGCCTTCATGTTGCAGGTTTGCCACTTCAGGCTTCTTTTATTTTATTTAATGTGTTTACATGATAAAAACGCTTTAGAAATCAGTAAACACCCTGATGTAGTTAGGATCCTGGAATAGTTTGAAATGCAAATTGTTAAAATCCCATATCCAAATTACCAACCCCACCCCCCCCATTTTACACACTGGCCCTTGTGTGGGTTTCCTCATATAAATGGTTCAATGATCACCATGATCCATAATACGTTTGAATGAATAACTGCAACCTGTAGGAATGAGGACATGCGTGATATATAATGATGATTCGAATCATTTCACATTGTGTTTGCAGGATGGAACTTCTAATTACCTCAAAGGACTGATGCTTATTCTCTGCTACCTGATAGTAGCTGCAAGTTTCTTTGTACATATTGATCCAGCTTCAGTTGGTAAGCCATCCCTCTCTTTGCTACAATTTAGAAGCTGAAAACAAAATGGAAGGTATTCATGGCTACACACAACTAGTAACCTATCTAACATGAGAATTGGAACGATTTTACAGAAGATAAAAAATCCGGTGCATGAAAGGCAAGGGATGACTCAAGTAGTGAATCTGACTGCGAAGGCCGTCCTCTAAAAGACGGGATTGACCGGAGCTTGAGAGGTTCACTCGATTGCTGTATAGTTCTGAACTCGGGCTACCATGTTCAGAAAGCATTTTTCCATGTTTTGTGACAACCAATGGCAATATATGTTTACTTGGTTCTTATAATCGTTGGTGCTCATCTTGTTTACTATAAGCTGTGGCATTCTATTCAGAACTTAGCAAATAGGAATACTAGAAATCAAATGTAAGGAAAAAAAAATCATATTGATTTATTTTTCTTAGGGCAATGGATTTTTTTCCTTGTAATGGTTCATTCGAAGTGGTGGAAGGCACAACAAAACAAGAGTTAAAATGTGACCAATATTTTGATCTCGATATAAATGTTACTGTTGACTTTGAATTCTTTGATGGAGACATGAATACTCCATTATTTGTATTATAATTGATACTAAACAATTTGAAGTTGGAATTTCTTACTCTTTTAGTTGACTGGTCAATATTATACGTGTAAATTGATTGGTCAATATTATATGTGAATATGATGCTAATTTGAGCTTAGTTCAATTAGTTAAGACATTTATCTCCAGATCTTCTATTTGAATCTCTACTTGGATATGTTTTTGTAGTAAAAAGATGTGATAGGTATATTTCATAATGTGACATATTGCTATATTGTTTTAATGACCTGTGGAAAATATAATGTTTTAGTTGAAAATTTGATTGGGAGTTACGCCTATTGATAATTATCATTAGATTTGTGTCGATGTTATTAGGATAAATTTATTCTCACACTATTTTTTATAATTTTAGTGGAAATAGAAAATACTCTCTAGATAAAGGGGGTTAAACAGGAATTCTTCGAATAAGGTGCTTCTCCCACATCTTAATTGAAACTATATACCTTAACCAATTAGCTTATTTTTTTAAAATACTAATTAGTTGATTGTTAGTGAATGAAATTAATAGTAATATATCTTATTGAATAAATTCATTTCAATTCTCCTTTGAGTGATTCCAATTATTGGGCAAGGAAATGAAATGAATCATATTTAAAGTCAAACGTGAGATTAAATTAATAAAATGAACCAATAAAAAAAAACACTACATAAACAATCTAGAGATGCCAAAACAAGTATAGCTCAAGGTTGAGAATTTGATAAATATCACATCTAGAGATTTTCGCGTTCAAAAGCAATTGCAAAAACTTAGAAAAAAGTTTAAATAAATATGGTGCTTGTAATTTTAGTAAATAGCCATATGTTTAAAATAATTATTTTGATCTCTTTAATTTCATTTGTTTATCACAACAAATCTAGGATACTATATTTAATAAATTCTTGAAAATATAATACAATTTTATATTAATTTTTTTTTTTATTATTATATAAAATTTAATCGATTAAGAAAAGATTTGCGTATGAAATTTATGTTAAAGTTTAACGAATAGAGATCAATATCATTACTTTTTTAAAAATTTATAGACTAAAATTTACGTTGAAATTTATGTTAAAGTTTAACAAATAGAAGAGATCAATATCATTACTTTTTTTAAAATTTAGAGACTAAATGAGATGTTAGAGAATAATAAATAAAAATCAGAATTAGAAGTCGTAAAAACAAAATGGGGAGGCAAAAAGTTCAGCCAAAGAATTAAAATAATTATTCTAAGGAAAAAAGAATTAAAATAATTAAACAAAAAAAAGAAAAAAGGGCGCATCTTTTTAGAAAAGATTTTGAATCATGAACCCTAGGGACGAGGATGAGATTTTTGCTCGAGCGTGGATGAAACTCAGCCTCTATGAGCTTTGCGAACTGCTTCTCAGGACGTTGTCTCTGACTTGATCGGAGTTCCAGTAGAGTTTTTGTTTGGTATTACCACTTTCAACAGCCGCCGACTCTTCTTCTGCTCGATCTTACGTTCGTTCTCTGGTGTTTCCGACTATTTCGTAGTAGCTTTGGTGGTTTCTGTTTCTTGCTCGGAAATGGTGAGTTATTTCCCTTTATTTTTGGTTTCTCACGGTTAGTCGAGTTCAAGAAATCTTCTATTCTGATTCTGACACCCCTTTGCCCTAAACGACGTGTTTGTCGAGATTGGGTTGTTCCTCTGATTTAATCTCTTGTTTTGCTTTGTTATTAGTCGGGCCGGGCTGATGGAGGAAGGGATCGATTTCGAAAAGATTATACGTCGAGGTACGACGAGAGGTCGCAGTCTACGCATAGCAGCAGCAGCAATCCTCCGTCCAGACACCTTTGGATCGGAAATTTATCTCATGTTATAGTGGAGCGTGATCTCACCCGCCATTTTTCACAATTTGGAGAGCTCGACAGTATTGCTTTCCAGCCCAGTCGTAGCTATGCTTTCATCAATTTCAAAAGGGACGAAGAAGCGATGGCAGCCATGAGGGGGCTTCAAGGTTTTGCTCTTGGAGGCAATCCCATTAGAATTGAGTTTGCCAAGGCGGTTAGTCTTGCCCGAACTTCTATCTGTTACTTTCTTCAAATTCTCTCTTTGTTTCCATATTTGTACTCTTCTTGTACGTCTCTGATATATTATATAACAATTTCTTTAAAAACAACTACAGTAAGAGAAACGATGACAGCATTCAAATCACTTGCACTCTCTTGCTAATCCAATACTCTCATAACACCGTTCCAGACAATGCTGCCCTCCACTGAATATCTTGGCTCTAAGTCAACCTGAAACTCACTGAACTACATGACTTTTACCACTTCTCCAGAGTTCTCAGTATCACAGTAGCAAAATTCTAATGTTTTATATAGTCTCAATCAGGTCTCAACTGGCATTACCGAAAATGTTAAAAGGTATCCTGCTCAGGGTCATATGTAATGCCTTCCACTTCATCTGCCATGACAGTTCCTATGAGTTGAGTACATACCCATATCTCTGGATTTCAGTTGATCCATAATGATGATGATGATAAAATACAAATCAAGTGGTATTACGATCTTCAAATAAAGTGACGAACACTCACAAACAGAACATTTTCATCAAAAACTTGCTTAATTTAATATCTCCAGGCAACAATAAAATGGCTAGGCCAAGGAATGTGACGGCTTACAAATGTGCAAGTATTAAGAAGCAGTTTGATTTATACATGCTACAGATAAATAGACATACATCTCTGTAGTTGAGCAATCCTTTAACATCCTGGATCTTGCACATTCTTTTCAGTCATCATTCTTCATGTTGTTGCATCCAATCAATCCTCCTTCATGCAGCCTAAGAGTTAAGACATGCTTCACTGGTGTAATAATAAATATTAATAACTTTTCAATCTTGAAAAGTAAAACATTGCAATTTACTTGTCATTCCCTAATCCCTAGTGTTAAAAACTATTATTACGTTGACAAATTTCACCTAATGATATTGTAATTTAAGCAGGATTTTGTAGTTCCAGAAACAAGCCTTTAAACTTCTTACAATGCTAAAAGTTATCAATTGTTATAAGTTAATGTCCTAGAAAAGGAAATATATTTTTCATGTACTTTCATATCAAAGCATAAGCTAACTGTTGAGACAAAATCTTAATCAGATTGCTATTGTTATAGTGGGTTGCCTCGTAGTGTATTATTGAATGGTGTACCTTTGCTTCTGTGTTTGTTTATATTAAATGGTAGAAATGTGTTCCATATGGAGTAGTAGTAAAGGTCTCCTTGATATACTAACCACTAGGCATTGTAGTTTCAGATATTTCTAGTTTGTAGTACTAATATACCAACAACTAGGCGGGCACTTTAAATCAAAATTGCCAATTTAAACTTTCAAGTATCAGGTTTGAATCCCCTTATTATGAAAACCTCAATGTTTCTTGCCTTTGAATGATTGAATTTATTGGTTACCACTAAGAGAAAAAGGTCACAGATAAAAGGAAACTATCTTGACCAATTTACAACCATCACATTATCTCTTATTTTTCCTTTCTTCCTTGTGCAAGAAGAGAGCCGAACAACCAAAGGAAACAATAATTTTGTTTAATTGAGGCTTTTAATTCTCGTTGGACTATAAGCACTCTACTTATTTAATCTAACAAAAATGGGTATATTTGGAGGACCTGATAGTTATAAATTCACTAACTAACAAAATTGCTAAAAAATTGTCAATGCGAGTGTGGGTGCCCCTAGGTATAATGAAACAAAACTCCAACTCCCAATTATAAAAAATAAATAGAAAAAAGAACAAAAATTGTCAATGGTATTAGACTTCTTTTTATAACATTTACTTGCTAAAGGAACATAGCTTTGACCATCTTTTCCACCATCGTATGAGAGGATATTTTGGAGGTACCAAAAATTTGATATCTTAAGCCAAAAAATTTATTAGGTATGCCGACATGATCATAGCTTAGCTGTTAAAGCATCTTTCTCCTTAGGTTGGATGTTCAATCCCCCATCTCTACATTTATTATACTAAAAGAAAAAAACTAGTCTGAACATGACAACAACTACTTAAATTCAACTTCAATGAAGAGTTTACATTTTGGTTTTTTATGTTGTCTTTTTGCCCTGACAATCCAGTGAGTTAGTCTAATAATTTATTGTGCTGCTCTATTTTTTTTTCTTCTAATGCATCGTTAGGTTTCAGCAAATAATAATGTTGAATCGAAACACAATTTAGCATGGGAAGAGTGGTTTTATTAGATTGGAAATTTGTCATTGTTATAGGTTGCTTTTTCTGCTAATGGATAACGTCCATAATTTGCAGCTTCATCATTGAATCAAATTATTAGTTGCGTAAATGTGTGCAAGATGACATGGCCATTCAATATATTATAAGGCATCCAAGCACATAAGACATAGTCCATTATACTTTTGAGTTATGTGCTTTTTGTATGCACTAATCAATATCTCACAGTAAGGATACTTCCACATTAAAAGAATATATATACAGTGTCCAAAAACAAATAGACACTCTGACCATTCAATTTTGACTATATTTATTTTTCCACGTGGTAATATTGCTATTCTTAAAACCATGTTGAGAATCCTCCTCAGGTATTCTCAAGAACATGTTGAGAACACTAGGTTAACATTATCCAAATCGGATAGGGAATGAAATTCATTTCAGCATTTATCTCATCTTGTGAAACATCATAGGGATTCTCCTCCCTTCACCAGGTAGAGTGAAGATATCAATAAACAAAATCAAAATCTTATATAATCGAGAGATGCAATTTATGTGGTGCTTAACCTTCAAATGAAGCCTAAGTGAGTTGTATTGAACTCAAGAAATTCCAAAGACACCCTCCCTTACATAATATAACCTGTGATATGCACTGGTGGCGTATCTAATATGGTATGTACTGAGAAGAGTATCATTTGGCACCATACCTGAGCTTACTCTGTTTGCACATTTTTTTATATTACCATTGGATCTGAAACTTCCCTCGATGAGAAGCAGCTTCTAAGTGAGAACTTCAGAACATTTCCCTGGGATCTCTGGTTTAAAAAGCTGAATAGATTCTTTGCATTTTATAAAACTTTGTATCAAGGAGTACAGAGCAAACTATTTACTTGTATAGCTTATTTTCCTGATCAATGAATTTTCACTGCTCTGGTTGTTGCATCAAGGTTCAAACACTTAAGCTGGATTCGTTGTGCTGAGCAAAGCATGTCCTTCAATGAAGTGCAGAGTGAGGCAACTAATTAAAATTTAAAAGGATAATATAGAATATCACTCAATATGCCCTAACTATAAAAACACAGAAGTCAAATTGTTCAATTAATCACAAAACTAAAAACTCACAAGAATGGTAAATGGTCAAAATGTCATACATGATACAGCCAGACACCAAGCCTACAGTCCTATGGTTGCAGGAGGCTTACATTTTGTGAAAGGAATGGTCCGTTTGTGCCTGATTTGTGGAAGTCCAGCACATATGATATTGTTCCTGTAACAGCTAGTATGGTGTTCTTGACTAAGTCTGTGGTCCACATGAATACTTGGTTACACATATCTGTACCCTTTCTTTTTCTCACAGTTGTTTCCTGACATGCTCCAATTTCAGTGAATAAGAATGAAACACCTTTTTTTTTTTTTTGCTAAGAGAAAGAATGTGATTAGTTAGACATCATGAATGGTAATTCAAAGGGTTGAGCTCAGGGCACACTGGTGAAGAGAGCCTCTTGGGAACCTGTTTGGGTCATGTATTAGGGGTAATGAATAATGGATTTTTTTACCAGAGTTACATTTGTAAACTTGGTGTATCTGAGCTCAAAAAGATTTGGTTTTGTGTGGTGATGGCTACCTTTCGACAAATTTTATTGGAGAATTTTTGTTCATCTAGGAATGGATTACCTATTATTGAGGAATATATCTTCTCCCTAGTTGCTAGATGATGTAACTATTATTTTCTAGAACATGCGAGTTGGAGAATCATTTTGTAATCTCCATTGGATTGACTTGACTGTCCTCTCTCTTTTTCTATTTCTCTTTCTTCCAATAAAAAGATTGGGAAAAGGTTGGAGAAAATTTCCGTTTTGCACATCAGAAAGTGTGTTAGACACCCACGTAGAACATACTATGCACACGTGTCTCCATGTAAACAGTGTAAATCTTGTTAGGTTAGATGATACTCCTTTAATTTTTCTCAATGTTTGTACTGAAACTTCTTAAGTTGGATCTTTTCCACCATATATATTATTTGCCAGCTCTTTAAATCTCACCAAATGGTGGAAACAACTCCTGAAGTACTCGAGTCTTAGTTATCTTCTGTTTGCTTGTCTTAATTTTTATAATGGACTAGAGGTTTTTATTTTCCTATAAGTGAACATTGTTCCACAAAGCCTGCTATAAATATTCAAGGCTTTAACCCTTATTATTTTAGATCAAGATCAACCCATTATTTCTATCGTTCAGGGAGGGAATGGAATCAGGTCTTGGCGCTTTTCTAGTATGTTAGTGAATCTGAGGAGTGATCTTTTGAAATAACTCTACAGTCTTGTGTCGGTTATGTCTTGGTTCAGTGAACAGGAAATTGCTGTCAGTGTCTTGAATAAGCTAAATTTTGTGTACTTGGTAAACGTTATTGTGCAAAAAACTGATTGTTATCGGGAGGTTGGATAGTTTGACAATTAGAATTAAGATTTGTACTTCTTTTCCCCCCGAAATGGTTGGTTGTTAGAGGGATGAGTAAAGATTTCATTATGCCAGAACCATATGCAAAAAAGGAGAGAAGGATAGGTATCTCCCCAATCTATCGCAAAAAGAGACTACTTCAATTGGCTCAAATAAGAAGGGGTATAATTAGACCCTTTAAACAATGAGCCTCACTTAGAAGCTAGAAAAGAAAATGATCCTTCACCTCCTAGTCATTCCTGGAAACTCCATTAAAATTATTCACCTTCTCTCGATCTAAAGCTCCTGACTGTAGTCACCATATCATTAATATGAATGATTATAGTTTTTTTCCCCTTCTTTTTTGGGCTATGCTCAAATTGACACAAATGATTGTAGTCTTGCTCCTAATATCGTGAACCAACACGGTGTCCTTGGCTTGTAATAGGGAGTGTAGGGCGATGGTGTTGGAGGTTTTGCTTTGCTCACCTTTTTCGTGATAGAGGGGTCCTGTTGTGTCAAGCATTTTTTTTTTTTGGCAATTTTGTAGGGTATCTGGATGGAAAGGAATAGTAGAATTTTTAGGGAGGGTGAGATCTTAGGAAAAATTTTGGGATGTAGTTAGATTGAATACCTCTTTATTAGTGTTGGTATCTTAGGCCTTTGGTAATTACCGGTTAGGTGTTATTCTTTTGGATTGGGGTCCTTTCTTGTAGGTGGATTCCCTTTTGTTCGACGTAGTTTTTGTATGTCCCTTGTATATTATTTTATATTTCTCAATCAAAGCTTGGTTTCTTACTAAAGAGAAAAAAAATGTGAGCCGACATAATTTAAGATGATATAGCATTTGTCAGTCAGTTTTTATGATGTTACCCTTTCCATTCACCTCTCTGTAGAAAAATCTCTCAGTTCTCACTTATCCATAACATAGTAGACAACCGGAGCAACCAGTATCTGAGTGTATAAGAGTGAAGGGGTTTGGAGTTACTTTTTTTAATTACTTTTTCCTTTTTTGAAAAAAAATTCCTTTCCCCATCATTGTCACTATTAGCTCTTTCTCCTTTCTCTTACAAAATTTGAAATGTTGAAATTTAGACATTTTATTCAGTCATAGGCTGTTGTGCCTTTAATAAGAATTTTGCTCTCAGGATAAGCCATCTGCATCATCACGTGATGAAGACTATTCTCAACATCGAGAGGAAAAATATTATGGAGCAAAGGGTTCTTTCTCACAAGGACGGCATGCTAGTCCTGACCAATTTTATCCTGAAAAGTCTAAAATGAGCGATAAAAATTCAGAGCCTAGTGAGGTGTTATGGATAGGATTCCCATCTTTGTTAAAAGTGGATGAAATGATATTAAGGAAGGCCTTTTCACCGTTTGGGGAAATTGAGAAAATTACAACATTCCCTGGCCGGACATATGCTTTTGTTCGTTTTCGGGGTGTGACATCAGCTTGGAGGGCTAAAGAAACTCTTCAGGGGAAATTATTTGGAAATCCTCGAGTACATATTTGTTTTGCAAAAAATGATTCTGGTTCATCCAACAGTGGAAGGAGCTCAATGAATGCACCCCTTTCTCCAAGATCTCCTCACCTCTTCTCAAATTTTGATGCTGGAGAATTTGATTCCCGTGGTTTTAATAGGAAAAGTAATTTGTGGACTAGTGGGAATAATGCATTTGAAATGAAGAGGTCTGGAGAATTTTCATCAAAATTGGGTCCACCCGGGGATAGGTACGAACATCATGGTAGTCCAACAAAAGAGAGAGGCCCTCATTTAAATAATTTTCCTCAAAGATTTTCTCAACAAAGTTCATTTTATGAAGATCCGTGGGACTTGCCAGAGGATTCGAACTTATATCATGGGTCCAAGAAATTGAAAACTGGACCCTTTCCTCAGGACAAAGAGCTCCCTGAGTATCCTTTATCTGATTTGGAACAAGATAAACGTATTATTCCAAAACTGTACCCTGATTTTTCCCCATCAGAGGTTGATATGAAAATGAAGTCTGGGCCTCTGGGGTATAAACAGACTCCTGATCGGCCAATAACAATGCCTGTACCTTATGGAGAAAATAGTGAACGCTGGAGGGAACCATATGATAATTTTCAGGGTTCTGATTCTATGCCATCTAATGCTGTTGCAAGGAAAAGGTTGTCTCCTGATTCAGAACAGTCATCCATGAAAGAGTGGAAATGGGAAGGAACTATTGCAAAGGGAGGAACACCTGTTTGTCGTGCTCGCTGCTTTCCTGTGGGAAAGGTTCTGGATATGCTGTTGTAAGTATTTGATATTCCTCCTTATTTCTTCCCATTAAAACGTTTTTAATCAAGTGCTGAAAAAAGTTAGAATGCTTGCTAATTTTATTTGTTCTCATTTAGCCTCAAAGCCATTAACAAGGACTAGATCCATGGAAGGTATATTTGGGAGTAACATGGAAATGGAAATTTTCAATTTCTTTCGGTTGTCTATGATATTATTATTAGAGAGAGTAATATAGTTTCTTTTAAGTCTTAACTAAAAAAGAGGTACAAGGTTGCCAACATGAACACAACTCAAGTGGATAGACACCTATTTTCATCCTAAAGCTCGATGGTTCAATCCCCCACCCTGCAATTTTTTAATTGAACTCAAAAGGGTATTATTTGAGTTGGAAAATGAAGCATGTAGGTAACTATAAACTTTTTGTTATTCTGGCCTTCTCTGATTAGTTAAGTTTTGGTTAAATGATTTAATTGCCTTGAGATAATCTATACTTTCACGGCAGCTGTGGTTATGAAGATGAAATAGTTTAAGCAATCCTTCTTTCCAAGTTTTTTTTTTTCATTTCTACTCATTAATTGGCATTCTTCCCCTTGTATATTTTTCTATTTTTTCCCACTGAAATCTCGGTTTCTTATAATAAAAAATGCATATATTTAATTGGCTTTCTAAAGAGGAAAATATTCAGATGATTTCTTCCCAAAATTTCCTACGGTTCTATGTGATCAGATTTGATTCTGCTGCAATTTGGTTCTTGTTCTTGTTCTCTCATCAAGTTCCCAAGAATTCAGGATTATCCATCATAAATAGTATTGATCATTTGTGAAACTGAACTCGTATTCTGCAGGCCAGAGTTCTTAGACTGTACTGCAAGAACTGGTCTAGATATGCTTTCAAAGCATTATTATGAAGCGGCGAGTGCTTGGGTTGTTTTCTTTGTACCTGAAAGTGATTCTGATATTGTATTCTACAATGAATTCATGCACTATCTTGGTGAAAAGCAACGAGCAGCTGTTTCTAAGTTGGACGACAGAACCACCTTGTTTCTTGTACCACCATCTGAGTTCTCAGAGAAAGTGCTCAAAGTACCAGGTAAATTGAGCATTTCAGGGGTAATTCTGAGGCTAGAGCGTCCTGGTACCAGTGCAAGACCTCCTCCTTATCAAAACGAAACAAAAGACACAAATTTGTTACCTCTACAAGGTGAAACATTATATGCAAAATTGGCAACGTCTCCAGCTGTTTTTGCCCCAATACCAACTTTATCTGACCTCAGTAAATCAGGAATCAATAATGCATCATTGCCTAGGAATGTGGCTACTACAGCTTCACCTGTGTTATTTCATGGTTCAGCCCAATCTATTGGAAGTTTGTCTGACCCATATCTAGAGAGCAGGTCTGAGTATCCAATTCAACAACAGCAAAATGCCATGGGACCAAACTTGTCTTCTCACCATCTTAACTCAATGGTGGATATTAGAAATATTCAGTCACAAGCTTCCCACAATTCAATGGATCCTGTTATTCAGGAACGTCATTTAGTCATTCCAAGGGAAATTCAGGAAACGGGTTCCAGTAATTTCACAGTTGGGATTTCTAGTGTTCCATCTGGAAATGCTTTATCAACTCAACAAGAAATCAAACCGGCTGCCTCTTTAGCTACGACTCTTTCCTCCCTACAGCCAGAACAACTGGCAGAACTAGCATCATCTCTTCTTGGGCATCAAAGGCAGTTTGGAAGCACATCAAATGCAACTATGGCAGAGGAATTGAGGCAGCGAAATCTGGTCAGTGAACCTGTTATGCCATTGGCAAGGTCCCAAAATGGTTCTTTCCAGAATAATGTGATGAACTCTGAGCCCCAGACATCTCAGAATGTTCAAGTTCCACAGATGCAGCTTGTACAACACCTCCAGATGTCGAATGTGCCTGATGGGCACATTATGGCACAAAGAGAGCCTCAAACAGGGGCTTTAGGCAATAACCAACACGTTCAAAATTCTGATGTACGTGGGGAAGCAGAAGCAGATCCACAGAAACGCCTGCAAGCAACACTTCAGCTGGCAGCTGCTCTTCTTCAGCAAATTCAACAAGGTAAAGGAAGTTGATCTATCCTGCTTGATCTTGTGAAATTAACTAATGCAGAGTTCAATCGGCTATGGAAAAGTCATCCTACAGATGATGTGAAAGGAATGTTGAAGGAATTAACTGGTTTCTAAGAGGAGATAACGAATACCAGAGCCTGCATCATCTGCTACCTGCTAGCGGTAACATTTATTATCCTAATTCCCAAGTCACAAGTCTTTTGATTAAACTTGTTTATAAGTTTTTGATTAGCTAGTTAGTATCAACAGCTGCTGCTTTAATGCTGTTAGAAATTGGAGGCATTTATGGTAGTTTTGCTGTTTTGTTTAGTCTCAAGTCCAGAAATTTTGTTGGCCTCTGTCTTGTTGTTCCTTAGTTATTTACTTGGGAGAGTCCACTTCGTTGGTCATTTGTTTTTAAGACTTCTGGCAGATCCCAATCATTAATTTTCTTCTACTGGCCTATGAGAAAAGTAAATTCAACCTCTTCTGTTTGAACCTCACTCTTACAATCGTGTTGCTTGAACCAAAGAAAAGAATGTGAATGTGAAACTGAGGCAGGTTCTGCTAGAAACGATATGGTATTCAGGTCTTTTTGTTCTGCTGGAATCTGTCTGAAAAATGCCACATTAACAGATGAGAAATGAAAATTCCAAAGAGAGAATTGGAATGAAAGTTGGTCAAAATGAAATAACTAAGTATTGAGAGAATTTTTCATGGAGGTTGGTTTTCTTGAAAGCTGAAACCATAATCCATTAATCATTGCAATACCTTCTCTCATGATATGAAAAGTAACAATGATAATTAATCTTATAAGTTAAAATATCATTTTTGTTTTCTAATCTAGGACCAAATTATCTGTTCTATTTTAGCTCTCTAATTCTAAATGTACCAAATCAGTTCATGTACTTCCAATAAATCTTAAAACTAATTCTAGTTATTATCGACTTTTTCTAGAAAAAATTAGTCTCTATCAACCTATCAACCTTCCATCTAGAAATTTGAGAAACATGTTCACATGGTGTATTTTCTTCAATGAAAATTATTAGGTTCAAATACTTTGGTTAATGTACTTTGATTCTCATTGTATTTTTAATTTGAGAAAATCTCTTTAATATGTCATTTTAAAAACTGTATTTCACTTTCAAATTTTTACATATTTGGGTTCTTAAATTTTAAATTTTCATTAATCACGATTGTCCTCAATTATTATTGTTTTATTTGATTAAATTTATTTTTTTATTTAAATGATTAGATTTTATTTTTATCACTTCTTTCCATATTTGGATTTCAAATCTTTAACCAAACCTAAAAAAATCTCATATTTTTGTCATATCAGAATTAATACAAAATCCTTCCTACTTCAAAAGGGCTTTTAATGGTATATACTCGGGATTTCAAAACAAAAATGAGGAAACCACCCAAATTCTAAATTTGTTTCATATTTAGTTTGATTTTGTTTTTAGCATATATTAGAAAGTAACTGTGATTAATTTTCCTAATGGATTCCACCTATAATGTGTCAATATTTAGAAATGTAAATGGTTAAAAAGTTAAGCTTATTGTGTAATTAGAATATTAAAATAGACTAATTGTGTACTAATTCCTTAACCTTTTAGTTGGTCATTTTTTGTTTGAATTTTTTTTTTAATTTTAAGGAATTGGTTAGTCGTCCAGTAACAAGTAACAGTAGTACATACCATTCGATGAAAGAAAGAGAACAACGAATAAAATAATAATCAATATTCGTAATGCACGCATTATTGTTGTTATATTAGACTCAAAGGATCGTTCTTCAACTAATTAGAAGAATGATTTTAATATGAAAAGCAAAAAGGTAGAACCTAGTTTCGAGTCATCGTGCAATACTTTTTTTTTTTATTCAAGATTTTATGGGAATGAACCCACCACTGAAAATTTAATTAGTTGGAATAAAATTAAAATAAAGGGCATTATAARGTCATTCATTCTTCAGCGATTCAAAGAACATTTCATTTTTCTGTCATCAACTGATTAAATAGTCATACAACAACCAAGAAAAATATGTTCTGGAGATCGATTAATGATCCTTGAGAAGCAGGCAGAGGCGATTAAGAAGTAAACTTTTAATAAAAGAAGAGTATATTCAAATGACAACAAACTCTCAACTGAAAGAAAATCAAGAAGCTGCTTTTATTTTTTCTGTAGATAACGAAATGAATAATATAAATGATTTACAAAAAGAACAATGACCCTTTAAATTCTTATACAACAAAGATTGCATAAATAAAATAACAAATTTCTAAACAGTAAATAGCGCTATAAGAACTATATTTTTACACCTAAACTAAGCATATAATAAATATGAATGAATTGAAGAAGCCAGGCCAGTTGAAATTGATACCATCAGAGATATAAATAGGTAGCAGTGTCAGAGGCATTTGGTGAGTCCCTGCACAGAATTGATCGAGCTTCTACAACTGATCGAGGAGGCTCAATATCTTTTTCTTGCACTGAATTTCCCAGTAATCGCTGCATTTGGGAAGCAAATGTATCATCCAGTACCTACGCACAGCAAAATATATAATCTATGGTGAACACATGATAAATTATTATATATATGTTATTTTTTTTTGGATATCCGTGAGTGTCAGGGCGTGCTTGCGCGCACCTTGACTAATCTCACGAGATAACCACCTATAAAATAGGTAGGAATTAATTCTTAAGGTATGTAGCCTTCACGTTCCCTCTTAATTTTTTATAAATTGTTATATACAGCTGCTGGTAAGCACAAAAAACAAGGAAAGTGAATATTATGTTCCTTAAAGAGTGGTGTTGTGGAAAGTTAACGTACCCCAAGAGCGTAAATTGATCCATTGTACCATACTCTGTTTTCTTTCCTGCCTTCGAGAAATTTAAGGACAATCTGTTCCAAAATAGTATGGTTATACATTAACTTTTGAATGTCATGAATGGGCTGTGGATTTAGAAGAAATTTCAAGCCAATCTCTTGAGTTTACCTGTCCCATCCTGTCCCAGAATCCCCGACAAATTGCAACAAATATAAGACCTGTGAAGACCTCGTGCAAGTTTGATATGGAATCGATAAGTTGTGAACTCAGCATTTGCATTCTTTCACGAACTTCTGGCTCCCCTTCTTCTCTCGTTTCCTCCAAAATCCTTTTCAGCCGTGTATTACGGTTGGCTTGCATCTGAATTCAAAATCATAATGTGTGCAACATTGAAGATGATGAGGCTATGTTATTGGAAAGCTAAACTCACTAGTTTGATCCTTGGATCTAAGACCAAGATGCTCCGGAAGAAAAATAATGATTGTAAGAGATCAAAATAGATGTGAGCTTACATTGCATATGAGCTTCCCTACAGTTGCCTGTAAGTAGTTTTTGTATTTGGTCCTCAAAAGAACCGTGATTCCGTTCATTTGCTCACCAAAGGGTAACTTTTTCTCTCCCACAACAGGCATATAGGACGCCCAGGACTTCAAGATACCTTCAACTTTAATATGTAAGACATCTAAAATTCTCTTGATGGTATTCAGGAACATTCCCAACTGTTCAAAGAAAGGATACCCGAAACGTGAAAAATCACATGGGAATATAAATAGCAGTTCAAACTGCAAATATGATGCATTATGCAGGGTTGTTTTGCCCATCTCAATATGACTAAAATCAGACACCAAGGCGTGGATGAACAGCCCACAGATAAAAAGGGACAAAGTAAGAGAGGGCGCCTACTTGATTAGGAACGGAGTATATGGCCGTTGATTGTCTTCTTGTCAGCTTCTGGACATGCATGTTCAGCCTCTTTGGGATAGTATCTTTCAGAGGTGTCAAGATATCGCTATACTGTTTTTCAAGTGCTTTTAATATTGCTCTCTCGACATCTGCAACAGCCTGTATATAGAGCCAGTATGGGGAGTAAACGTGAGTGTAACAAAACAATCGTGAATTGATAATGGTCTAAGTTTGCCCATGACCTATGAACATGTTCTTATGATATGCAATTACGAAAAATGGTAGATTGACTGTGGCCTCTGATGTGTGATTATATCCAAACTTACATTTTCTAAAATCAACGAATAATGAGGCCATCGATTGATCACTACTTCATATTGAACGAGGGAGTCTCTTATTTTCTCGTACATCTCCTCAGCAAAGGGCGAGGTGGAATGATTTGTTGACACACCAGACCATGGCACCTGTGTGTCAATTGTTCAATCAAGCAAATTCACTTAGACGCTGACCAGTAAGTTCGTATAAGGATGAATCAGCTAAAACACCGAGGGTTTGTCTATCCAGACTGCAATTTTGCTTTCGAAAGAGATACTGATAGAGAGCATACCTTTTCTGCTTTACATAGATCAAGCAAAGTTAGCTGCATATCCTGTACCCACACCATTATATAGTCGTGGAATAGGTCTCTGGAGTCTACGCCACCCTGCACTGGACTGAAGGATTTCCAATGTCAGGCACAGATGGAAATTTTTAACATCATGGTCTCCTTTTTCCATGAAGATCGACAATATCAATTAGCCGTAAAATGATCTTTGACAAACCTGATATTCCATGATTCAAGGCTTCTTTCAAAATCAGCAATAGCTACTAAAAGCTCATTCACATAAGACAACGGACCAGAGGGAGGCCATGCAGCGAGGAAACCTCGAACCCTGTTGCACAACTCGGTGCTGTAGACAGCGGCAGTGATGTTTGAGAGGTCAATCGAACTGTGACAAAATGGTAATTTAAGTCAAGACCAATTCAAAAATTGCAACTCAATCCTTTACTACTGAAAAGGATTTTCATTAACTACTCTAGCACGCATATACAACATACCTTGGTAGTATATGCTGATCATGAATTTTGATATCAGCCTGAATTTCATCACCTATATTTTTACACAGTTGTTTCATCTTCAAATATGCGGTAGAGATAGTAATTGGATCCATGAGAAGACCTTCAGAGTTTCCCGAGACAAACTCGTCAGTCTCGACCATGTACTTTCGACACCGCTTTTTCGCCGCCCTCTGCAATCATCAGGTGCAATATTTGGCTTATTCATGTATTCAAATGAATCAAAATAAGAAATTGCATTGCTTAACCAAAATCTCAAGGAAGTATAAATCTATGCGAATTCAAAATGGATGATGGCTCACCTGAAAATAGTTTCTCAGCATATTCTGGGCATCTCGAGAAAGTATATCACGGAGCAGAGTGTAGATTTTCACTGCAGGAGTTAGAGCAGGTGCTGCAGAGTCTTTTGTAGGACCAAGTAAATCTGCCAATCCCGTAGGGGAGTTTTCATCCAATGACTTGTAGTTCTCAAAAACATTTGCCAACAGACTCTCAATTTGAGTTTCACAATCCAGCAATATACTTCTCTGGCATAGTTAATGAATGTACTAATTAGAACCAAAGATGCATAGAATTTATTGGGGTCTCCTCTCTCAGGAGAACATACCCATATTGGAAGCAAGAAAATGAAAATAGTTGTGACTGAATACTATGAGATTGCGAAGCCAGTATACATTTAATAGGTGAATCTATTTATCTCTCAAGCTACATTTTACTAATTTTGTGAGCTTCTTAAATAACTTTTTCTTCTTGAAGCTGCACATTTTACAAATTACAAACCAAGCTATATAGATATAGTTTCATTGAGGATAAACATACCTCTTGCCGAGTCAAAGTCTTCCCGCTTTTGGCCTTCATTATGGGTTCAAGTAATTCATTTACGAGGTCTAAGCAATTCTTAGTTGGAGTAGCCACATTCATGACATGAGAAAGATATCTGCGCAAAGGAAAATACTAAAGCAAGTCAAAACACACAAAATTTTATAGATTTGCACGAAAATGAATCATTGACCTCCTTAAATTTGTTATTCTACACATCCATAATGACATCCGTTTAATACCTGATTCTTGTATATGAGTCAGAAACTCCATAATAGTCTGCAAATTCAGTCAACAACCACTTCCAAAGTCCATCTATCCTCAGATTTCTGGAACAAAATTGTTGTGCACGCATTGCAGCCTCTAGCACTAAATCATAGGCAAGAGTTTCCACAACAGGTCCACTCTGTATCATATGAAAACACAAAGGATCAAACCAGCCAGCCTATCCAACTTTTTGAACCAGAAACAATCTCTTTACGTAAGGATATATTCCCTGTAATTTAATACCAAATAAGAACTTCAAACTTTATTAGACGTGAGGGGCAAAAGATACCTTCATATGATTAGTCTCTTCACTTGTCATTGTATGAACGATAGAAAGCTGAATTTTTCCCACACATCCCTGATCATCATGATATATGGGCCACCACCGAATCTTATCATTCTGCATATAATGGTGAAGTCAGTTCGTATAATAATTGATCGGTAAAATGCAAAAAAATCATAACTGAAACATATTACTTACAGTGTTATCGATCAATGATGAAACTGAAACCGTAGTTCGACCTTGGGTAGTTTTTTTGACATCCTGGATTTCTAGCAAAAGAGTATCTCCTAGAGCCTCTGGGAAACTGAAGTCACATATAAATCATATGATCTCGTGTTCATAACACAGATCTACTAGAACGAGTAAAATCTTATGCTAAAAAGTGGATTGGTCTAATATTGATTCAGAAAAAGTACATAATGTCTTGAGAGCAACGGTTCACGTGTGAATTGCTTAACAAGTTAATCTGGTAAACTGAGTTTTAGTGAGAGAACAAAAAAAAAAAAAAAATCTTACAAGACATGGTAGTCTCCACTGCCAGGGTGCAAGCAAACAGCAGAATCAGACTCCAGGTTAGAACCCTCTGTAGCACTCTTCAATTGAAATAAGCAGGATAATTGTTCTGCAAAGCATAAAAAAATGTAAATTACTTTGCCACTATGAACTGGAAGTTCTTGGAAAACACTTGTTCTTGCTTTTCCCAGTATGTTATCTAAAAGGCCCATTTTTATCTTTTGGAAATATGTGGATTGTGATAGACCCACAAAAGCATCACCAACAAACTTACAAAACTCTGGACAATATTTGGTGTAAATAGAACCTTTCACTTTTTGGACTTCGTTAGAGATCAATCATGCATTGAGGTTACAAGGAACAAAAACGAATTCGAACCACCTTCTGACGTATTTGTGAAAGAAGTCTCTTTCAGAGAATTTATGCCATTTTTCACAAAAGTTGAAATATTTCGAATATATTCTGCTCCTGCTTGCATATAGAATGAGCCTCTTTGTGAATATGTATTCTTCAGTTTCCTCTTTGGTATCAGTCTTAGCTTTTTCACTGCCATTGTCACAAAAATGTCCTTGGTCATAAACAACAAAATGTTTCAAAAGGAGATAAGTTGTTTCTAGTTCTAAGACTGAGATAGAACCACCAGAACAGAATTGGTAGTTTACAAAATTGGAATATATGAAGCAGAGTCCTCAAAAGAAGCATGTTGTTCATTTTAATAGAATGTTCGAAAGTACATAACTAAGTCCTTCTCCAGACAGGAAAGTAAATCAAATATATTGTTCAAGTAATGGTGAAATCTTCTGAAGAATACATACCTTCCACTCTTATCTTTCCAACAACCTTCTTTGGGTTCAAAGTCACAACTTGTTCTGAATGCTCAGTATTCCTCCCCCTTTCTGTCGTTTGTGCACGCTGAGGTTGCAATAGAAATTTGTGTAGTCTACATAATTGTCAATTTATGAAGAGCACCCATAAGAGATGATCCAACGAAAGCTACCATAAACTTTAAAAATGAGCAGTGTTGGTCTAAATGACAAGAAAGATGATCTATACCCGAAAGCATTTCGAAGAACCAGGCACCCATTGCGTAAAAATTCAGGAGAGTCTGTGCAGCCTCTTTCCCATGCTTGTAGGCATAACCGAATACAAGCATCATATGCAAGTAGAGTTTGCCAGGCATGTTGACCACTGCAATTAAGAAACCCAAAATCAACAAGGATGTTAAGGATCAGTAATAACCAAAATGATCTTGAAGAAAAATGATAGAAACAACTGATAAATAACTATTTGAATCAAGACTCAAGAGGTGTAGAATTTCAATATCAATAAAGACCTTGTGTTGTAGCAGGATGAAGGATCTGGATAGTTTGACTGCAGATGAGAGATATATGTATCTTTCGCTCCTGTTGAAGTTCTGTTCACCCAAAGAATATAATCGAGAAGTTTAGAAGAACAAACCTAAAGCTTCTTTCAGATAAAAGTAATTCAGTGAAAACCACAAACCTTTCAAAATTTTGGGTGGTTCCGGGAGAATAAGCTTTCCATTCTGACAAAACTTCTTTATATTTATCAAAACCTTCTGGCGCCCGCAATGGGCACCCATTGGCAGATTGATCCATTTCACTGGAACCTTCAGAATCCCGTCTAGTTTGACTTTCACACTCAGTGCTTGTTCCTTCCCCTCCAACATCAGCAATGGGAGGTGCACTGGGAGTTCCTGCCAAATCCTCAAAAAAACTTCCATGAACTTGGGGACCCTGCAACGATCAACTCAGTTTAGCTTTGAAAAGGACAACAGGGAGAGTTTGACACATATAAACAGAATTAGAAAGGATTTGAAGGTCTTACACGTGCACTGTGAAAGTAGACTTTTTTTTTGTGCTGACTGCCATAATTAGGAGTGGAAAAATTCTGGGGAAAGTGCCTTGTACCCGACTCTCCAACAGGAAATCTTCTTAAATTAACAGGTAGTTCAATCTTGAGATCTTCCTTCAAAGGCCCTCTATTGATAGACGATATATTTCGGGTTCCACCGGAATTTACACTAGACTGGTAGCCGTACACATCTTCATAAAAATCCTGCCCGACTGGCTTCTCCAAGAAATCCGAGTCACGAAACCCCATACCATCCTCGTCGGAATAAATACCATCCTCCTCAAACGGAACCGAGGCGATGCTTTCATCAACATCATCTCCATGGTCGTCATCATCGTCCAGGCAGGGAGATGCCAAACTATGAGGAGCAAGCAATCCAGAGTGGAATTTCAAAGGAGGCAAAACGGGAGAAGACATGAAGCCACTTCCATTTAACGACAATGGAGATTTCGGAAACAGATCCGGGCCGATTTTCTCCGCAAGAGGAGATCGAATTCGAGTTTCACCTTCCGCTGTTTTATCCGTCCCCTGTAGGAAAACAGCGAGGATATACAAAATTAAATACAAAACGAACTGAACCAATTTCTAAAGTTATAGCTAAGGGTAGAAATGGAGAGTACCTTCTTTATCCAGTTAATTGCAGTTTCATCCAGGCCATCTGTGAACATCTTGCTCGAAGATATAGCTTTTAGTGTTCCGCACGGGAAGGGGTCACTGGTACAGAGAAATATAGAGGGTGAACGAGCACGGGGAAGAAGAAAGAAGAGCAGAAATGGAGAAGGAGAAGAAGAAGAAGAAGAAGGGAGCGCGACAGCGCGTTAGTGCAGTGGGTCTTCGTTTTTTAACGGCTAGTTTCTGGAGCTCATTTTTTATTTTTTATTTTTTTATTCCAAAGAAAGGAATTTTTGACCTAAAAAAAAAAAAAAGAAATCTTTTCTCGATCCATACGGATTCTTTCCATGCTTTTGTGTTTTTAATAGATAGAAAATTTTCCCACCGTATTTATAAATATAGCAATAATTTTTAAATTTGAAAAATATGACAAATATTTTAACTTCAAAAGATTTTTTTTTAATATAACATGTATGAGATGAGAGATCGAACTCACACCCTTTTAATCGAAAATATATGTTGATTACCGCTGAGATAGCTTACTTTGTCAAATTCAAAATGTTATAAATATAGAAAAAGAATTTTAATTTTGTAAATATGGCAAAAACTTTATAATTAGATTTTTCTTGTTATTTATATTTCAGATATGTTACTCGTGGTTAGTTAAAATTTTATTCTAGTCTAGTCGATATAATTTAGTTAAATTTTATTAATGGTCTATACTCACTTGTAAATGGTGTTAATTTTGGTGGAATATTAATAATAATAATAAGAAATTAAGCTCGGGTCAATTTTGAAAATGGTATAAATTATGTATGTAAAAGAAATTGCTAGAGTTTGTCAAAATTAAGGAAGGCTATTGGTAATATTTACAAAATACGAGGGCTAAGATGAAAAGTATGGGACAAAATTGACACAAAAGATAAAATTAGTGGATGAAAAGTATATTTTACTTTCTTTTTCTTAAAAAAAGACAAATATTAAATAAAGGATGCGCATTGTCCTCAATTTACTTCTATTAGAAATTGAAAGCTAAATATACAAAAGGATGGAAATTTGACATTTTTGTACGGATTTCAAATTATTTGTTTGTCCATTCTTTCTCACCTTTTTTTTTTATATATATATATAAGAAAAAGACTTGTTTTCTTAGAACAAAAAGTTTACAACCTCAATCTTTTCAGATAAAAATGTAAAGAATCTGAAAGAGAATAAGTATGATTTTATCGCAATTATAAAAATTATAAGTCAAATCCAAGATTTTCGATCGAAGTTGATTATGAATCAAAATTTACCAGTATCGATTTTATCTAGGGCAACTTGAAATAAAAATCTTTTAAAAAAATTATGCCCTAAATTCCAATCCCGCAAATGTGTTAATTAATCTCAAATAAATAAGAAGGAAAGAAATCCGAGAGAGAAGTTATAAATATTTGTTAAAAAATATCTAGAAAAAATCCCTAGGATGACAATTTCCCCAAGATGATCCCTAATATTGAGGTAATTTTTAATTTAATTTTAATCTTTTAAAGTTCTCAATCTTATTATTAATCTATAAAAAAAATCACCAGGATGGATGATCCCTAGTATTGAGGTAATTATTAATTTAGTTATTAATCTTTTAAAATTCTCGATCTTACATTTAATGTCTTAATAAAATTACTAAAAAATTAGGGACAATTACAAATATGGCAAAAAAATTTAAGAAAATAACAAATTTAGCATCTACATTTTAGATTTGCAAATATAGCAAAATTTTTAGAAAAAAACGGAGGTCCAATAATAAAATGTCAAATTTACTACCATTGATATAACACCTATATATATATATATCTGATATATACTTAATATACATCTGATTTACTACTGATATACAACTGATATATCATTTATATAACTATGATATCTACTAATATAACTTCTAATGTGATTATATTATTTACTATTTATTGATTTACCACTAATATATGTGTAATATATTATTGATATGTCTTTGATATACCACTGATATAATACTTATATACAATTGATTTACTCCTGATATATCTATGATATCTACCAATATAACTTCTAATATGATTTACTACTAATATTAGTATGATATAACTATGATTTCTACTGATATAAGTTCTTATATGATTATATAATTTACCATCGATTTACCATGTTGATATAACACTTATATATTGTGATATATACTTGATATGTCTTTAATTTACCACTGATATAACTATGATATCTACTAATATAACTTCTCATATGATTATATGATTTATCACTAATATAACTTTGATGCATCTATGATATATACTTAATATGTCTCTAATTTACCATTGATATAACTATGAGATCTAGTGATATCTAACATTGATGCATCTGTAATCTATTGATATCTACTTATGTATATCAGATATCGGTTACAAATATATTCAGTATGTCACTAGATGTACATCAAATATACATCAGATATATATTGGTGATAAGATATACATAGGTATATCATTACAAATATATTTAATATATCATAAATTGAGGTACATCAGATGTATATTAGATGTATAATACATACATCTAATGTATATCAGAGATACATCAGATGTAGATCGGAAGTATATCAAAGATATATTGGACGTATATCAGATATACTTCCATCGTGCGTATATCAGATATACATCCATCGAACGTCTATCAGATATACATCGGGTGTATATCAGATATCATAAGGGTAAAACTGAAATAATAAAAATTCCGAAAATAAAATTTCAAATATTTTACCATATTTGCAAAATACAAAAGTGGTTGACATTTTTGTAAATATGTATAAACGTTTAGCTACCCAATACAATTTCTCAAAAAATTAATATATCATTAAATTATTGTTATATTAACATATCTAGACACTTGAACATGCTATATGCTTCATAACACAAAACCCATTTGTAACGGCACATCTAATATGTAATTCTCTTTTGTTAATAAATTATAACACATTTTGTCACATCTAATTGGGAATTTTTAATACGGTCTAGATAAAATTGAAAATTTTGAAAGATTAAGGACAATTTAAGAATTACCCTAAACAGTAGGGACCATCTACATCTAGTATGTTTAGCCTTTCGAATTCATGTCATTTGCTTTCCCCCATAGATAATGCATTTCCCATCAATCACCATTCTTATATTGATTTGATGCATCAAAAAGTTCTCTCCCATTAATTTCATCTAATCTTTCGTTGAAACAGCTGCAGTTTGCTCGGTCAATGTTCAAGATGTAATCATCAAATAGGCACAAATACTTGGGAACAATATGTGGCAAAAATAGCTGATTTGGTCATTTAAAAAAAATTAAAACTAATCATGTGGCAGAGAAAAGCAAAAGAACAAGAACAAAAAGAGCAACTAGAAAAGGATCCTTTTCTCAGATTAGTACGAACTTAATCATCACTTAAGCAAATAGATAAGAAATCAATAAGGTGGAAAATCAAATCTCTCTAAAGAAATGAAATGAAATGGGTATACAAGAATGGAAGGGTGAAACAATAGTGACTTTCAAGTTTCTAGTAACAATTTGAATGGATAGAAACTAGATCAATGGAATTAAAAAAACCAAGACAATCTCTTTTTCTTTCTGGATTTGGTGTTGGTTGGGGGAGGGGAGAGTATTAGATATTTGCATTCTAAACATAGCTTGGGATACATATAGACTAGAAATAACTATCCCATCATCTCTCTTCACTTCATCATATATTATGTAACAGCTCCAAAGACCAATTGCCTAAGAAACTTGCTAGGCTGAAGAAAAAAAGAAGTATCAGACAACTCACCAAGAGCCAAAATGTTACCGAAATTCATCCGCCGTGCGAGCATGTGCAAGGGCGGTGTTGGCCATTTCTAGTCTATCTTTACTGATGAAAATAGGTAGTGAACAAAGTAGAAAGACGTCAGGAGGCCAATGGTGCCAGTCGATAACATGATTGCCGTCGCCATGATCAATGAATAACCAAGATAAAGAATGGCCGAAACCGGACCACTCAAACTCTGCAACTCAAAGACCAAGTAGTGGATGGAATATAGGAACACGTAAAGAGCAACTGAACCAGAAGCAAAGAAAGCCTTCCACCACCATCGCCAATCCTCCACACAGAGATGCATGTAGGTAAGGACCACTGATACTTCAGCACACACAATAACCAGCAAAGACAAAACTATTAGAAGGAAACCGAATACGTAATAGAACCTTCCAAGCCAGATGCTAGAAAGGATAAAGAAAAGTTCGATGAAGAGGGTTCCAAAGGGAAGGGTCCCAGCTCCAAGAATGAGAAGCCAAGATGGGTACTTTCGTGCAGGAATTTCCCTTGGAATCTGGTTGGTTCTCACGGGAAACTGAATTTCCTCTGCTCGAGTGCCAAAGAACCCTCCCAGCAGGGTGAGTGGCACAGATATGCAAAACCAGAGAGACAAGAGTTCAAAATATAGTGAGATGGGAAGGGCACCAGTACTCTTGCTGCTCCAAAGAATGAAGTTCAGTGCCGTAAGAATGACGAAGACAATCCCAGGAAAGAAGCAAGCAACTGACCAGGAAACCGACCTCCACCCTTCCGATGTTCCCTTGATAGTTCTCCATGCACGCACACCAACATAACCTGCAATAATTCCGAGGAAAAGATAAAGAATAATCATCCCTGTCAGTAGCATTCCTCTAGAAGCTGGTGACATGAAGCCAAATGCAGTACAAACAACAGTGACAACTGCCATCCCCAAAATTTGAACTCCATCACCAACCATTACGCACAGGAGCTTTGAGCAATCTGGTTCCCTGAAAACATCTCCAACCACAAGTTTCCATCCTGAGAGCTCCTCGTTCATCTGCGCTTGAGATTCTTTGTCCAACTCCTCATACCTTGTCAAATCTCTTCTCACTGTCCTTAAGAATATGACAAAAACTATACCAGCTAAGAAGAAGATTACCATTAGTGAATTTAGAATAGAGAACCAGTGTACTTTGGAACCCTCCATCCTCAAATACGCATCCCATCTTGATGGCCATCGTATATCACTTTTGACAAACTGCACCTCATAAGTGAATGACACTTGCTCTTTCTCTCTGATGATCTGAGACTTATCAAGTTCTTTCGGACAGTCTACATGTGTGATATTGTCGAGCATTTTATACTTTCTCATCACTTCAGGATCATATTTAACACTACAAGGTG